TTTTACAATATGCTCTTTTGAGATATCTTATCTAAAAGTGGGGCACGTAATCGAAAAGTGCTGAATTTTTGGGTTCAATACCGATATTTAGTGATTTCGGTGTAAAATTCTTGTTTGGACCATGTTTGAGAAGATAATATTATATCTTCCCCCCATACAAATTTTATGAAACTTAGTTCGAGATGACTTTACAATATGCTCTTTTGAGATATCTTATCTAAAAGTGGGGCACGTCATCGGAAAGTGCAGTATTTTTGGGTGTCATACCGATATTTAGTGATTTTGATGTATAATTCTTGTTTGGGCCATGTTTGAAAAGAAATCATATCATTTTTCCGACATACAAAGTTTATTAAACTTTGATCGAGATGATGGTATTATGTGTTTTCCTTTTATCACTTTTATAAATGTGGCCGGCCATTGAAAATTACGAAAGTTTACGTGGAATATGGAAAGCAGTGATTATAATCGGTCATAAATCTGGCAACTGAATTTCACCCAGCATTCATATTTTCCGCAGCGCGTTTTATACGCAATGTAAAATCGTTTTCTGGCAACCCTATATTACCGTTCCGAAAACGAGAGAGATGTCTGCTGAGAGATGTCTGCTAGGGTAACTTTGGTCGCTGGTACGGTACCGGTACCGTAACAATGCGTGGTGATTGAACTGATTGAACCGTGTCAGAAAATCCATTCATGCGAAACCCTCGTTATTACGACGGTCATTCGTTCGTCCTTGAAAGAAGTAGGCACAACGAACGCCGGAAACGTCCAAGTTTCCAGACCCTAACAGATATGCGATATTTAAATTGAACAATAGTAGGCTACATAAGTACACAACAAAAATATTGACATATTTGTAAGTTTTTTTGCCTATATTCCTCGGACCTCATTAGGTATAAGTGCTATCCTTATCATATAGTTAAGACGATGGGGGTAATAATGGCGAGGTCCTATTATTCCCCAAATAAATAAAACAACGCAAAACGGGAACAGTCTTGTTCCTCCAAAAACTTTCCAGAAATAGTGTGGTTCTATTCTTCTCAAGGCAGATTCATTCTTTCATATAACTTGAAAAGATTGGGTTCTTTTTATACCATAGTATCTACTTGTTTATGATAGACGGAGTCTTGTTCGAAGAGCAGTTAACAAACACGCCAGAGAATGAGAACATTCTTGTCCGATAGATTTATTTCTTTACAAACGACATAATAGCTGTCTACATACTCGTGACTGCTTGTTCAGAGCCTTGTACAGATTACTCAGAAAAAATGCGATACATATATTATAGGGCAACAAAGATTCGACCCTATCTGCGTGTCCACACTCCCGTGTTATTGAACACACGTTAACAGAGTTTAACTCCGATCTTGACTCCTTCAGAGGTCAAAAAGCACACAATGTATTGAATGCCAATTGTTATATTGTAAAGTTGCACAATCGAATTGATCCAAAAACGAATTACACTTTAAACCAGTGGTTCCCAAACTTTTTTGACCATCGCCCCCCTAAAGTAGTTTATACAACTTCATCGCCCCCTGCACTACAAAAAAATATAAAGTCAGAAACGAATTTATTACAGACCAAATAAGAAGACAAATCATAGTTTATACTGTTTTTTAATGAAATAGATGAGCTTGGTGTTCTTCAGCGAGGTTTTTATTATATCTAAAATTACCCCATTTACTGATGGAAAGGTGATTTTATTGTTCTAATAGCAATAGTAGCACGGCTGAAAACCTCTTTTTCACCATATAATAGGTCGGAAATGAAAGAATCCAGGGTCCTACCTCCTCAAAAACCGCCGTGTACTCTTGCCTTATAGCATTTCACTTCCTAAATTCACCCCATTTCACATTAAAATAATAAGAACAAAAATAATTTTCCCAAACTTATAATAATGATTTTCGTACATTTCATTCATTCGTACAGCCTGATGACCTGCACCAAAATACTTCGAAAAAATCCATCCCCGATTCCTCATCCTATCGCGGCCTCCAGTCCATAATTACCCAGCCATTTTTTTTGGATTCATGGACTCGGATGTGGAAGAAGCCGTGACTGACTATCGGCTACGGCCCAGGGGTCGGTAAATTTTATGTCGCTCGCAGGACAAAATTCAGGATTGCTAGTCTTTTGCGGGTAGCATATATTTTTTGAGAGTTAAAAACGGAACACACGCGAAACTTGCGACAATCGTGAACTCAACTCAGTCGTCTTATTAAAAACATATTACAATAACATTTAATGTGACGCTGTCTTGTTGCTGCATCGCGCTGGATAGCTTTACGACGCCAAGATTGAAAAAATTTCTAAATGGGCATCACCAAACCCACTTCTTTGCTTGTTCTTTGTAATGTGCATTTTCGAAAATAATGGTTTGCACAAATATGTACTTCCAAACATCGAAGTGAATATTTTCGCACGATTTGTGAAATTTTGATAAATATATATATATTTTCTTTAAGAAGATACATTCTTACAAAAATCAAGCAGTGATGAATCTCCCGAATATGAATATGAATTTATTTCCTTATTACTTTGCAATATATTCGAATATTTACTGCGCTATTGAACCCCTGCACTCAGCATCAACTTTTCTGCGTGTTTGCATTTGTCTAATTATAATTAAATTGTAGGCTCGTCGAGTGGCTGTTCACTAAATTGTTAGGATATAGTATAATTTACTCTAAACGTGTCTCACGATAAATTCTGTTACGTAAAAAAATGTAATTTACTCCTCGAGCGTAGATTATAAATAAAAAATTTTCATCGTCAAACCCGCCGTTTGGATATTTCCCCGGGCATAGACTTCCCTGTTTACTTCGTGACATTGGCCAATCAGCAAGATGCAAAAAACGTAACAATGCCCCCTTTCGCAGGCGCTCAGACACTCTCACTCGGACAGATTTTCAGGGGTGGTCGTGAGCACTACCTCATTTTCGCGTTTTTGAATTATATTCGTTAGTATTTAGTTGTTTTTCGGGAATTTGAATATAAATCAAATAAGTCAATGATTACTTTGTCTTTCTATGAGTTTCAGTTTAAATACAGCAATCAAAAATTAGTGTAGAAATAGCTATGATAGACTAGGCTAAAATTCTTTATCGGTACTTTTAAAAAACAGATTGTTAAATGGTGTGTATTAGAATGATAGTTTGAATCAAATACCCCATTTTACAGGCCACAGCTCGCGAAACCACTCTTAAAATAAGCACCGAAAATTTTAAAATGGTAAAGTATGGAAAAAATTTTCCGCGGTCAAAGGTCGGGGAAAGGTCCATTCAGTGAATGGTCCCGGGCCAGATTATTTTACTTCGGCAGTATTTTGCCGACCACTGGGATACGCAAAGTACCTTACCTTACTGCAAAGACGAGACCAGAAATTCTTTCGCGTGTGAATATCGCCCACATGTTTCAAGCCTGCGAATGCACACAGAGTACAGAATTAAGTGCGCCGAACATAAAACAGCTTTCGCGAAATCGCCCCCCTATCGCCCCCTTAGACTTTTTCGCCCCCCTCTGTATCGTTTTCGCCCACTGGGGGGCGATATCGCCCACTTTGGGAATCACTGCTTTAAACCTTAAAGCAAGTATATGTGATGAAACCAAATTTCTAACTAACAAAGAACGGCAAAGACAAGCTACACTGAGTGAGAGAAATACATCATAAAGGAAATGAATTGGGACAACGACCTTGTTTCAGGCAAATAACATGCACTCCTAACAATAAGGGGTGAAAATATTAAAATACACAGTAACTATCCTTATGTACTTGCTGCAATATCATGAAAACAGCTTAGAATTTTAATCTGCGATGCAAGCACAGTTACGTCTAACATTTTAATCACGAGGCTATGGTCTCGTTATGATTTTAGACCAGTGCTTTTCGGTGGTGCGGAACCCCAGTGTTTGAGAGGCTCGAAGAAGCCCTGTGCAATGTTTGGTGGCTTTCTCCACCATCAAGTCCAAGCTTTCGGAAAAAAATAACTAATCGCATACCCGACATGGAATGGTAACCGGACGAGAGGCCATGGTTCGCCCTATGGTTAAGTCGTCTTATCGGCTTTCCTCTCCCCGGGATAAATATGTAAATCCTATCCTATCTTAAGGGTAAGTAATACAGTGCATATCGATAGACCAAAAACATCCAAACACGAAGAAAACAGTTTTTCTCGATCATATATTCAGAACAATATGGCTATTTTTAGGACGTCATTAGAATGTATTGATCTCTAGTAAGTGTAATCAATGATATTAAGCAACATGATGCGCAACTACGGCATTTTTGGCCGAAGATCGTATCCGATAGCACGCTCCAATGCACATACTTGACGAGACGAAAACGAGCGGATGTGTGCTGCTTTCAAGGCATAGCACGAATGGTGTTCGTGCCGGCTTTGACAGTTGTCGTCGATTTTAATGATATTTTGGAAAGTTGAGGTAAAAAGAAATCGGAAAAAGGTAAGGTAAATACTATTGTTGTATATCACACCCGGGCATCGCACTGTTAAGTACATGTGGGAAAGCCAGCTTTTGTCAAATACTACGAAGTTATTAACTCAGTACGGTACGTAGTTGCCCATTTGCCGAAATTGCATATTTACTTACCCCTTATGGTTTCAAATAGTTCATGCACCTCCATTTAGATTTTTTTAATCAGTGAGGATTGAATCAAAGGGTTAACAAGTTCACCTAACATTTCACTCATACCGGTCTATATTGTATAGTCTGATCTCTCAAGTATATGGAGCCACGAATGCTTGTAATTTTCTGACTAAATTCCTTTATTAGTTGGTTTATATACCAAGTTCAGTAAAACATTTTTTACATCAAACATGAGATATTGGATTTATTAGCTTTTCCATTCTAAATCATATAGACTGCTTCATTTATTGTTGACGAAAATTAATAAATCTCCTCTCTTTCTTCAGATGTGAATGTGGACAAACCTGTCTAAGCATTGTGAGACTCCTGCAGCACAAGAGGCAATAGCAAAAATAGTAAGTATATCAATCAAGAAATTAAGCCGACATAAAGCAAAAGTTTCAACAAATCGTCTAATCTCAATTTCCTATTATTTATTCACAGGACAACTATAGCAGAAAAGGAGATGTCAGAAGTCTGGCGACATATCAGTGATCGTGTGATTCCCAGAAGTATAATTAGAGTACTCCATAAATATTTTTCAATACAAGAACAACCTATGGAGGCATGCAAAGACATTTGACCCTCCGATAGAGTTGTGTATGCCCCCCACATCCTGCAGGGCTTAAGGAAAATAACAAAAAATTCTAAAGCGTGAGATTGCATAAGCGGTCCTATTTGTGAAAAGGCACAAAACACGCCAGACATACTTAAAACAGCTTTGGAAAATGAGGATTACGGCTAACTCACTACACCTGTGTTATATGTGGTTCATCAACTTTTGGTAGTACTATAGAAGCAATTTAGGAAAGGGTAAAATCATGATTCATGATAAAAAACTGTTATATATATTTTGAACAACTTCAATCTAGACCAGGGATGTCAAACTCGCGGCCCCAGAGAACTTCCAGTGCGGCCCTCGAACGCTTAGCAATAATTGTAATAGTATTTTGGAAGTTTTTTTCTATCTAAATGTAATAGATTTTTCAAACCTTTTAAAGTGAAATTGATTATTCACACAGAAAACAATTTACTGAAAGTAGTGAATTTTTTTTTGTTCACATTTTGACCCAATTAAGAATACACATCAAGCTAGCAAAAGAATACTTGAATAAAACACTTGAGTGATTAAATTAAACGCAAAGTACATGAAGAAGGTGGCATTTTCAAAGCAAATGAGAGTTGCAATATTTCTGCATTTCACAAAATTCTGAAGCACATTGTTTAATTTGTCATATTTCCATCAATACAATAAAAAAAACACAATAAGCTCAGCAGTCAATATGACAAATTCGAAGAGCAACTTTGAACAGAAAATTTTCATGTGTTTGTATATTAATATAATTATACAACGACTTAGTTACTAAAAATCAATATCAATAATAATTCAAGCAATCCTATGCCACGCAATGTTGTGCGAAATGTCTTGTCGAAAAATTCTGTCATGTGTTTTTTTACTGATCTATACATGAAAATATAAAAATAACTTTTTCGCATTACTGGAATTAATTTTTGCAAAGATCCAGATTAGCCCATGATCATGTGACCTCGTTAGTTAGAGTTGGTACTATAAAATTATTTCAGCAGGACAAATGTAATTAAAAAAACATTGGGTTTATACTGCAGTATTTTTGTTAATTTTAGGTCCCTATATTTAAATTAAGTCATTTTTAGTGTATGTATTATTCTTTCCTTATCCAAAGTTTGTTAAAAAATGATTTTGATGGATGTACATAGAATTTTATGATTTTTTGTAATAAATACAGTAACTTGTAATAATAGTGGAATGCAAATATTAATATGTAATTGCATTTGAAAATAATGAAACTTAATCCAACTGTTTAGTTGCATCACAACATATGTCACAAACTAAAACTATCTTAAAAATATCTTTCAAGTATACATTATCAAAAACTGTTTGCGGCCCTTTTTACAATTTCCAAAATGCAATGCGGCTCTCGAAAACCCATGAGTTTGACACCACTGATCTATTCTAGACGATTCAAGCATTGCTTTGGGAAATAATATCACTTCAATTAAATTGAAAAAAATCTTGCTATATTAAATACAAAATCGTTGCTATCATAAAGGTGAACTAATTCAGCCACTCGAAATATATTGGCCTTCACAAAGTAATGGAGGCAAAATTGAGAGTTCATGAGCTATGAATTTTTGTTCTTTTCTTTGTCTTGAACTTTTCATACTCCACAGCCTCTATAATTTTAAATACCATGTGATGGTCATACATATCTTTAACTTGTATTTTCTGATGATGTGTTATCTCAATGTGTCAAACTATTAATTAGTGTGCATATTTTGCTTCCAGATGACATAAATGTATTGTCTTGTTTATTACCTCAGCTTGGAATTTTGACAAGAAAGAGGTGCCAGTAAATTACGTAATTTTTTTTTTAACTCTTTGTTATAATCAGAATTTACAATTAATAGAAATTATAAACAGCCAACAACCAATGAGAATTATATGCGAAATCCCTCAGAATAAATTTTTCTTCTAAAATCGGAGAAAGGCAAAACATATAGGTAGTTTCCATTCACACAAGTTTTTCAAGAAGACTTGCTCGAGCCAAACTAAATGAGCATGGTCAGGTGATCGGTAAGGCTGCAAGTTGAATTCAGCCCTGCAACCTCCTGCATAGAAGATAATATTAATTAGTGGGCTATGAGCTGAATTCCTAAATTTAAACAAACCTATCTACGAGGCATTATGTACTAGCAATGTTACCTACGATTAACTGAATATGTAATATGTCTAATTAATTCACCTACAAAAGCAAGTTCGATAGGTGCAAACTTTGTGTTATGGAATTGTATCACAGCACCGTTAGGAGAAGTAAAAACAGTTTTGCTGTCCTGTATGACAACCTCCTTAAATGAAATTTCAATGTTTACGCGCAAACATTAAAATTACTGACTTTGAAATTTGTTATTATCTGCAAAATGTTCCACACAAATCTTTCCGCTATCGCGTTTGTAATCTTCTCTGATAAAAAACGTCTATGATATCCAGAATTGCTCTTTACAGCTTGTCTGCCATTCCAGCTTTTCAAGTGAGTAAAACTTCTTAGATATAGAGATTATTTTCTTTCGTTACAGTTGCAACAAGGCAGGTACTACACGTAAAGAAGACGCCGAGTAGCAAAAGCGAGCTGAAAACGGTCGCGAAAGGCGACGAGAAATGTGTGCATTGGAGCGTATCATGAAATACAATCTTTAGCTTGCAGTCTTACGGAGTGACGTCAGAGTTGCCTATCATGTTGTTTAATGTCATTGGTGTAATTTAGAGTTAGGATCTGTAGCCCGAGCCCGACACGAAATTCGAGTAGGATCGGGCTTCTCTATCGCTGACTTTTTTAAATGAGGCGTTTTGGCCACGATCAACCGTGGTCTGCAAATAAACAGAAGTTGCCTCATCAGCACGACACATACTGTACTAAACTCCTGCAATGACAATTCAAAGAACTCCTCAATAAAATATGAAATTTCGGGTTTGCTTCGGGCTCGGGCCTGCAAATACAGTTAATTAGTCAGGCCGGGCAGGAATTTTTGGGCCCGATCTTATCTCTAAAGTGTATGCAGAATCATATGCCTTCAAAAAAAATTCTTGCCAAGTTATGCCAGTTTATGATCTTTTATTTGCTCAGATTTCGTTTTAAAAACCCAACAAGAAAGGGTTTGATAAAGAATTAACGAATAATTTGATCAGATTCTTTAGTGCTCCTGAAGTATGCGCACAAGATGTCGCACAGCCTGAACCCTGACCTGGCTATGGGCTTAATGGAATCCCAATTAAGGGTATCGGAGCATGCTCTGTCTGGCACGTGTTTTCAATACTTTTTTGCAATAGGGCCAACTTATTGATGAATTCAAAATCGATTAAGTAGTAGCATACCGCGCCATAAAGGCGGAGACACTTAAAATGTCCAAAACTATACTATACTCGCATCTTTTTTGAAGATTTTAAAAAAGGTCATGTACAATAGACTAGCTAACTTTGTAGAACAAGATGTTTTTCTTCCATCAACAATTTGGTGTTCGCAAAGAACACTACGTCTCTACCCACAAGTAAAATACTGGGTGGATATGAAAAATTGTTTTTAGCAAATTATTAGATGGAATACAAATGTTTTTATAAAATGCAAATCTATAACACTTAAGCAAATATTGTGAACTTTTGTACTCAAATTCCTAATAAATATTTCTCATTTAAGAACAGGTCAAACCCTTGGTCGAGATCCCTTATTTCCCAAAGATACAGAATTCCAGAATTTATAACCGCTTTATATTAATAAATATATAAATATTTTTACTTATTTCAATTGGTGCGAACATGGTGGGAGCTGATTCTGATGACCGCATGGTCGTATCGCTTCTTCTAGTCCATACCGACAAAACGTTATTCGTATTGCTTTATATTTATTATCATTATGATCAATGTATTCATGTTTTGTCTGGTTGACAAATATTAAATCTCTCTCTCTCTGTTGTCATACATCACCTTAGAAGTTTTGCCCCCTTCCGTATATATTTTTATGATATTGTTGTTTGCTTTTACCAATGACGTTGTTTAATGTCATTGCTTTTACTTTATGTTACTTGTATCGGAAACAAATCAATATCTATCTCCACCACCACCAAGTCCTTGCTTCCGAAAACAAACAAGAGAGCTACGCACAAATATATGGACACGTTAGACCAGAGCGAATCAGTCTTTACCGGTACCTTTGACGCTACCGGTACCCTCAAAAAAGTTCTGAATTTCCAGTAGCAAGAATTTTGCAGAATCAAAACGTACAGCCAGTCATGACACTGACTAAAATCCGTGTTCCAATGGATAAAAAATAATACAGCAAAATTTTAGACGAAATATCAAATTTCATAGAATTCATGCAAAATTTTGAAATAAATAAAAGTAATAGCCTTCTAGCGAAGAAATTAATCTTTAACCACTGAAAATTTCAAAGCAATTGGTCCAGTATTCGAAGAGAAAAGCGATTTTTCAAAAACGTGTCAAAGAACAAGAACAACAACAACATAATATTGAAACGATCGTTATGGCCACTAAACGTGTCCAATAACTAACTAATCCCATACCCGAAATGGAATGGTAACCGGACAAGAGGCTGTGGTTTGCCATATGGTTAAGCCGTCTTATCGACTTTTCTGGGACAACGCGAAACGAGAGAGAAGATCGTTCCATATATTTTCAGCTCAGTAGTACTGTCCCGGTTTTTTGTCTCAGATATATGGTAAATACTTAGGTCAAAGGTCGAAGCAAAATCCATAAACTGAGCAAAACAGAGAGTTTGTCCACGAAGATGGAGGTATGCTTTTATCAAGGATTAATTTTATTCAGCTAACGAAGAAGCAAGTTTGACTAGGATGTGTTTCACGAAAAGTAATACCAGTAGCTGAATACAGGAATATGAAGGATTTATTGCAAAATATTTTGGCATCCTATCTCCACAGTCCTCTGTCTTATTCTCTTGGATTTGTGGTGTTGGGACTCTTTACTCACAGAGTGTTGTCGTGGTTGTTCCCTGCCAGAAATTCAGAATCACAAATCTCAGCTGGGAATAATGAAAATGGGCCCCTTCGTGACATGGTCTTGCCATCAAGGTGTTTAAAATGGAGAGTATTCAACTTTCGTGGAAAATGGCACACCAGTGTGTCAGCAATCGTAGACCCACCTACTTTCCATGATTGGAAACCGGTTCTTGTATTAGCAAATCGAAAAAGTGGTTCAAATCAAGGCTCTAATATATTGAAGCAATGCAGCATGCTCTTGAACCAAGTTCAAGTAAATATAATTTTTTGGTTTGTTGTTGCTATCTCTGGTAGAATGGGCAATTTTAAATGCCTTTCTAAAGTACTAGGTACTGATTACTACCACGATAAACAACTCTATGATTTGAATTTTCAAGTGATAAAATAGTTTTGAGGATCTGTGTTGTAATGGCAAGGATTCACATGACATCAGTTTACACTTACAGACTCAACAAACAACCTTAGCTGGTTTTAATGTAATATAAAATAACTGTACTATTCGCTTTTATCCTAGTTAAGTATAAGTTTATTTCGACTACATAATCACATTTGACAGATAAAAACAAATAAATAAGAACTGATTAGGAAATCAGGGGAGCAAACAAAACCTTAGATAAGGTTTATAATGTACAAAATATAAGATGGAAGATTTTGTCAAGAGGAAGTGGTGTTTACTCACCTAAAATTATTAAGTTATTTCACACATGCACCCACCAGGCACACACACACCCAACCACTGAGAAGTTATTTAAGTAAGAATAAAACGCCATAAATTTAGGGTATACTATACAGTAAACAAAAAAAATTATTTGCCACACCATATTGATAATTTTGTAATGGTTGTCATTGCCAAATTGATCGATCTTCTAATTGTTAATTAAAATATAAAAGGAAGATTCTATTGAAAACATATTGCCAAGCTGATTATAGTTGGAGTCAAATGCCAAGTTACCCAACCAAAGTTGCCAGAATTGGGTGCATGAAGAGGTGGGCGAGACCATTTCAGTCCCCAAATTGGACCCTATTATTGCCAAATTATAGTCCAGATTGTAATAAGTAATTAATGCACTGAACTATTTATTACAGGCAAAAAATAATTGTTTAATTAAATGGGATGTATTGTCATTATATAGCGATGGATAGATGATCTATGACGACATTCTGCTTGGGACAGAGAAAAATTTATCACACCATGCAAAAAACACACAAAATTTTACTATCTAACGTATCTATACCTTGGCCAACAAGTCAACTCAAACACCAATACCATGCCTTATAGTTACAAACTATAGTCAACTCTTGCCATAAGCGATGTAACATGCCAAATTTGTCTTAGCGGGTGTTTGTCATCTGAAAGGCAAATTCTAACATTTTTGCATTTATTTGAATACAGGTGCATGATTTAAGCAGCAAACCAGCAGCAGCAACTTTGGAACTATGTGAATTGCTTCCACAAACCACGTTTATTGTGCTTGTATGCGGTGGAGATGGCAGTGTAAACTGGGTGTTGACTACAATAGATGAGCTAAACTTAACAACACAGCCGCTGGTATCAGTGTTGCCACTCGGGACAGGTAACGACCTATCAAACATGCTGGGGTATGGAGCTAGTTTTGACGAGTCAGATACAATGGAAAATTTTTTGTCACAGTTACGGCACACGCACCCCATAAATATTGATCGTTGGAAGATTAACATAAGATACAAAAAAACATATTTAGGATGGGGAAGACAGACAAAGAGCATATTTATGACTAATTACTTTTCCATTGGATGTGATGCTTTAATCTCACTAAACTTTCATAATCAAAGACAAAAAAAGCCATCACTTTTCACAAAGCGTAGCTTAAACAAGCTATTCTATTTTGGGTATGGTGCAATAGATGTTTTGGAGCAGCACTGTAAAGATTTGAATAAATATATTGAGCTATGGCTTGACGATGAAAAAGTGGATTTGCCAGATTTGGAAGGAATTTTGTTTCTGAATATATCATCATGGGGAGGTGGCTGCCAAATATGGGATAACTGGTCAGATGGTGATGTACAGTGGGATAAATCCATTCCTGATGATGGAAGAATAGAAGTTATGGGTTTGATTTCAAGTTTTCATATGGCACAGATTCAAGTTAATTTGGCTGAGCCAGTGCGCTTGGGGCAAGTGAAAAAGGCTTCCATAATCATAAAAACGAGAGTTCCTGCTCAGGCAGATGGGGAGCCTTGGGAACAGGATCCGTGTCGTATAGATATAAATTTTCACAAACAAGCTACTTTGCTCAAGAGGGAAGCTGCTAAAAATGATGAAGAAGATGGTGAAGTGTTACAGCTTGAAACTGGTTGAATAAATTCATTTGTTGAATACACGATACAATCTCACCACAATACATCTTCACACATAAATTTGTACTGCCATTGTTTTTATTTTATAAACGTACTCTCCATATTATAAATGTTTTTGTGTTAGTCACTGTGTCTAATAAATCATCGCACAAGTCTCTTACAACATTGCTTATTTGAAAAGGGATATAATCGGCAGTCAGAAACTTGCAATATTAGATTATTGATCTGATCTTAGAAACTCCAGGCCTAACTGCAATGAGCGTTGACCAAACTATTTCATTTAAACAAAATTGGTGGGAAATGCTATTTAAAGATCTGCACTGCTAAAGTCAGTTATGATTCCGACATACAGTAATATTGCACAATACATGCATAACACTTTAGAACAAATGCAATGGAGGGTCCTATAATGTCTAGCTATCCAGTTGGGCATGGTCCCAACCCAATCCATAAAAACAACTTGATAGAGGGAGGCCTGTTTAATATCAAACGTGTTCTTCCTCGAATAAGGCAGCCAACCAATCAGTTGCAATTCAAGAAGAGATATCAATTTCTACATGCCAAAGTCGGCAAACAAATGGCAGTGATTAAAATGTATTCATGAAAAGTTCACCGAGGCTGATGATAAATAAAACAAACTGGTTTGAGTAAGCAGTAGTGACTGTGACCAAAAAATATGAGCTTGTATTGTCATTCTTGCACAACGAAACAACAAATTCAAAGTTTTAAGTAAAAGCACGATAAATTGAACATCTTAGTTAATCACTGTGTTTTCAAGCTGTAGTGGAATCTGTATTAACATAACCTTGTTTAACCAAGAAATCGAACAGTCTTCTAGTTTTGTTTACATCAATTTTAACAATTGTTCTTGCTTGAGACAGCTTCAGAGTTCCTGATCGTTCAAACTCCGATACCAGAAGGCATTTATATCGCAAAAATGCCTCTGGAACAATTCTACAAGATTCACAAAATTCTTTTTCAATAGTACTCAACTTCTGTACCCCAGGCAAATCTGAAATGTCAATTGGGTTTATAGACTTTCGAGAAGAGGGTATAACTGGTCCAAGGGTGGAGGACTGACTCGTGTCCAATGATTGCCTGTGCAACCATTGTAATAATGCGGCATGGTCATTCTTGTATGATAATATTTCAGTTAGACAAGAACTATATGGCTCTACTCGTCGAGTGGACTTGAGTTTTTCGTATAATTTGGTTACTCTGTGTGAAGTAATCCCTGCTTTTCTATATTCTTTCAGTTTTTGGACTCTTTTAATCAAGCGATGCTCTTCACAAAATCCTGCAAATATTTTGTCATGTGCAATCGGATGTTGAAGTCTCATTAAAGGTCGCAACTTTTCTTCTAATTCTTTCTCATAGTTTGCAAGCTTTCGCAAATATTGCATAACATGATTATTCACATTAATTAATCCGTGAGTCCTCATTATATCTTTTCTTCTTTTACGTTCTGAGAGCCTTGATTGATAAATTTTCACCATTTCCAACTTTAAAGATTTTAGTACAGGCCAATCATCGGGTGCAAAATGAACATCTTTTATGCCCCATTCTGCTCCATTTAAGTATTCTTCCGTAAAATCTCCTCTTGCCGCAAGGTATCCCGCCATGTCTTGTGCTCTGTGAGATTCTGGCAATGGACGACAAGGTTCTCCACTTGCTTTAAATGGAATGGGAGGACATATTTTTGCAGCAGGACGGCAAGGCAATTCAGGCAAAGGATATCTTGCATTTAAGATGTAGCATTTCACATAATGACCTTCACATTCATGCTTTGTTTTTGTTCTAACTTGTTTAGCAACTGCGGACCAGTTTCCAGCTCCACAGTCCGATAAACTGTCCAACAAACGCATTTCTTCAGCTGATGACCAACCATATTCCAATAATGGAAAACTGCCTGTAATTATTTCATATTTGTGATTGCTTTTATGTTTACCATTTTCAAATCCTCGTGCAAAACATGATAAACAAATTAAGTAAGGCTCTGTGTCACAATCTATACATCTTATGAAAGGTTCATTTAGATATGATGAACAGCCAGGACAAGGATCCCGATCAGCTGGATCAACAACTGGATATTTTGCCTTTGCAATATCAATTCCTAGTGATTTTGAGGTAATTGGCATCATGTGAATTGTACAATAATTAAGATAGATATTGAGTAAACACCTGTAATAGCAAAGAGAAAATGTTTGAAAAACAATGAAAAAACGAGTTTTGTAACAAGTAACCCTATTAATCAATCCAGTTGCTTCTAGTTGCTACACACTGATAGTACAACAAGAAATCCATGGCAGTTATAGTGACTGAATTGCATTTAAAGATTCTACATCATATATAATATAGGAATGAACATATATCTTCAATGACCCAAAGTCATTACTACATGGGAAATAGGCTTTTCTCGGCAAATACCAAGGATATCATTTAAAGGGTACTAATAAGCAAGAGGTTCAGCATCTTTCAAAAACTTTATACAAATCCGGTAAATTTGCAAGTTGTAAAAATGTACCATCTTCCAACATTGATTTATCGGGAAGGAGAATTTTCTGGAAAGCCCTATACACTATATGTTCTATTGTCCACTTCCATGAACCACTTTTATTTGAAGAATTTGTTCCAGCTGGTGGATTTGAGGTGGAATCTGTGGCAGAAAAGGAAGAATCAAGCATTTCACACTCATCATCTAATTTTGCATCTTTTATTATCTCAAGGAGGTCAATAAAGCCTTTACGTACAGAGTAAAATCGAGCACATTCTCTGCAAAAAGTTTTAAAGCAATCTATTTCTGATTCCCAATCAACTTCAGTAGTTAATCGCAATACAAACATAGGAAGGCCTTCCATAGATGGTATGTAATCTTTAAGTAGCATTGGTATCCCTGTAATATTTCCATTTCCGTCCACCTCAAAAGAAAAGTAGTCAGATAACATATCAGCTTTGTCTTTTAGAAACTCCACAATATGATTGGCTAAGTCAGATTTATTACCATCTGCAGGTTTCCAACCACTCTCTTCATCATCAAGTGCAAGTTTAACAAGCTCTATAGTTGGTGCTGGTTCAGACAAACGAAAAATGCCAAAGTTTCCGAAATCATATATCATTATTTGATAAAACAACTCCTCAGAGAGTCGTGTTGTGTTTGTCAAGTACAGTTTAGTACCATGTTGTATCAGGGCCAACTCTGGATCGATGCAACCAACCCATGTATGATCGCTCATGATCTTTACAAGATCGCTATGAGCATTCTGTCTGATTTCTTCTTGGAGAGTTAACACACTTGTTAATTTTATTTGTCGTCTTTTTGGAAACGAGGTCGATGTTAGGTTATCTTTAGTTGCGTTATCCGATTTTTCTTGTTTGGGAACAGACATTTTCAAAACTTTTGCACCACTATTTATATTTTCAGATGTTTTTTTCATAGTCGTCACATTAGAGGTTGAAACTTTTGATGGATCTTTATTCTCCTGTGTCTCACTTGAAAATACATTTAAAAAAGCATCAAGCTTTTGTAATTTGCTGTCAGTCCTGACCATTTGATGATCATACACTTTTGAAGAATGTGGGAGTTCTGTTGTCGCTTTTTGTTTCACTATCTCTTGTGTAGAAATATTTGACGACGTGGGAAGTAAAGTTTGAGTGTAAAATGATCTAGAATGATTGCAATCTCGCAATCTCATTTCTACAGCTTTTTGTACAGATTCTATGATTTCTTCTTCGTGCAAGAAATGAACTTCATGTTTTGTTGGATGAACATTGACATCTATATTAGCTGGAGATATTTCAAGACTCATATAAACAAACGGATGACTACCTTTAGGTAAGAATGTTTGATATACAGAATCAAGTGCACGTTTGAGAGATGTACAATCAACTAGTCTTTGATTGATGAAGAGTAAAAAATTGAATTTTTTCATTGAGCAATTTGCATTAGTCAGCCAACCAGACATTTTATACTTCAAGCTCTCATCAGTGTGATTCACATGGAGAAGTTCTTTCGCAATATAAGAACCATAAATTAGTCCAATATTATCAGCAATAGATGATCCGCTTTGAGTTCGAACACTAACATCATTTCCAGCATTGTTACCTTCTGTAATTTTACGCAACGTGAATCCAATTCCAGAATTGTGAATGGCATATTTGCTGATGACATCTGCAATTCTCTGGTGTTCTTCCGATGCATTGTTTAATGCCTTTCTCCTAATAGGAACATTATAAAAGAGGTCTTCAACAGTAATCTGGGTTCCAACATTTCCTGCAGTTGGTCGTGGAGGGTCTTTCACTTTTCCGTCAATATATGAAGCTTTGTAAGCGCATTTACTTTCCTTCGTTCTCGTGCATATAGTGAGATGAGAAACATGGCTAATGCTAGCGAGTGCTTCACCACGAAAGCCAAATGTTGCAATAGAGCGAAGGTCGCTGAATTCTTTCAACTTACTTGTGGTAAATCTCTCACATACAATTCCCATGTCTTCTTTTCGAATTCCGTGACCATTATCAGATATCTGAAGCATTTTTAACCCACCAACTTTAATTGTGACTGTGATGGAAGTTGAACCAGCATCTAAACTATTCTCCAACATTTCTTTCAACGCATTTGCAGGTCTCTGAATGACTTCACCAGCAGCAATTCGATTAACAACATCCTCGTCAAGTTTTCTTATCACTGGTTGTCTCTCAGAAGAACTCATGTTGCAAGTGCTACTTTGAAATTGCTTTTAATTTACATAACTTAATTGAAAGATTTCATATTGAAATTAATTGCACATTTATTATAATTCAAGTTCATTTTACATAACAGTAAATATTGCACACATCAGACTGCAAATGAGCTAATATTTAAGGATAGTGAGTTAAAATATTGATGCCAACATAAGTAATAAAAGATATATGTATGGTTAAAGTATCTTACATAAAATAATAAGCAATTATATAACAAAAGACTACAATTGGATCAATCAATGAGCTTTTATGCCACCTTTTTATAACATCCAAAATATTAAATAGTGTTTTATATCAGGGGTGTCAAACTCGTTGTTGGGAGTTGTGCAAAGGGCCGCAAACAGTTTGTGATATATTTGATAATGTATACTTGAAGCATATTTTCAGATAGGTGTAGTTCGTGACATACCGAATGAAGTTTTATCATTTTCTTAAATTTCAAATGCCATTTACATATAAATTTTCGCATTTTACTATTATTTCAATTTACAGCATTTTATACAAAAAATCATAAATTTTTATGTACAACTATCCATAACATTTTTGAACAAAGTTTCGATAACCATAAGGAAACAATAATACATATACGGAAAATGACTTAATCTACGGTAAATGTATAGACCTAAATTTTACAAGAATACTACAGATAAACTCAATGTTTGTTTTATTTTATATGTAATGACGTTTGGCATCTCTTTTGTGCCCCCAGCTTTCTAATATCAGGCTGAAATGATTTTACAGTACCAACTCTAATTAATGAGGTCACATGATCATCCGTTAATCTGGATCATTGAGAATGTTTTATTTAATTTAAGTAATGCAAAAATATTACGTTTATCATTTCATGTATAGATCCGTAAATCAAACAAATGACTGAGTACCAGGCCAGACATTTCTTACCTTTACGTGGCATAGAACTGTTTGAGTTATGATTGATATTAATTTTTAGTAACTAGGTAGTTGTATAATTATAATAATAGGTTCCAAACACATACAAATTTTCAGTTCGAATTTTTTTTAAATTTGTCATATCGACTTCTGAGCTTATTCTGATAATGTCTTCTTATATTGATTTTTTCATTGTACTGATGGAAATGTGACAAATTAAACAATGTGCTGTAGAATTTTGAGAAATACAGAAATATTTCAACTCCTATTTTTCCTAAAAAATCCCATCTTCTCCATGTACTTTGCGTTTTATTTTAATTCTGAAGCTTTTTTTCAAGTATTCTTTTGCTAGCTTGAGGTGTATCCATAATTGGGTCAGATTGAAAACAAGAAAATTACAATTTTCCAAATCTATTTTCAGTAAATTGTCGTTTTCTGTGTGACTAATCAATTTCACTTTAAAAAGTTAGAAAAATGTATTACATTTAGATAATAAAAAAAACGTACAAAATACTACAATTATTGTTAAGCGTTCGAGGGCCGCATTGGAAGCTCTCTGGGGCCACATGCGGCCCGCGGGCCGCAAGTTTGACACCCCTGTTTTATATAACATCGAAAAACCTAATAGCATCACCAAAATTCAAAGCAGTAGGCTACATCGTATAAAACACTATTTAATACATAATATGCTTTGATTTATGGCACTATATTTGACGAATTTGCCTTTGAGCCTTTATTTAAACATATTAGAATACATGGTATGATGTTAGTTGGGCGAGATACCAGAATAACTTGAAATTGTGATAATCATTAAAAAATATTCAATGAGGCACACTATAGTTCAAACAACCATTTATCAATAGCAGCCTGATTCTGTTCTGGATCTTTTTTCCAATCCATCCACCATCTTAAATTTGATATAGTATCTGCATATTTACTTCCAAGGGACTTCCGCCAGTTAGAAAAACTTCGCTTATTATACAATTTCACTCTGTTGGTGACCGCATTGTAATCAATCTGCTTCCGCAAAAACTCATCAAATTGTTTAAGTAGCTCATGATCAGTCTTTCCAAGATCATTCAATTCATCTGGATCATCCTCAAGATTGAATAACATGGAATCAATGTATTCTGGGCCATAATCATAAGCAATATATTTCCATGGTCCTTTTCTAAGCATATATGAAGATGCATTCACATTACATCCATGATATTGACTCAAAATCCAATCAGGATGCTCGTGTATCATTTCTGGAAGTAATGAAGAACCATTGAGATAAATGGGTTTGTGTAAATTAGCTATATCCATAAATGTTGGATAAATATCAACAAGAGAAACTGGTGTGTTAATAAATTGAACCTTGTATTCATTCTTTGTATTTTTTCTCTCAGTATTTTTTGGAAAAGCTATTACCAAAGGTACATGAGAGCTGCCTTCATACATAGACATTTTGTAGAATTGTCTATGTTCCATAGCTAGCTCTCCATGATCAGACGTAAAGACTACATAAGTTGATTCTGTAAATCCATATTTATTTATAGCATCAAATATCTCTCCAACCATCGCATCAGTTTCAGCACACATTGCATAAAAATAGGATTTGATGTCAATAAGTTCTTGTTGTGAAAACTGAGATGAGCAATTTTTAACAATTGTAGAGTAAATATCAACTGGATGCATTTGGTTCAGAGGTAACCATTGTGGAATATGGATATCCCCAGTCGATACTTTGTCAAGCCAGTAGGGCGAAGTTTTAAAAGTAGAGGCCCCTGGGTTTTCCCCACTTGATTCAGTACTATAAGGATGGGGCATATTCAATCCTACATATAATAGAAACGTGTTATGGCTGCCTTCTAAACTTTTATTTTGTAAAAATTCCACGGCATTTTCCACATTTTTCCAATCCTTGACATTGACTTTTATTGTTGATTTATTCCCTGTCAATTCCACAGTTGGTCTTGCTTCTTGCCTCAAAGCAAATTTCACGTTTCGTGTCCAAGCTTCAACTCGGTTGCTTACAGTGTGTGCACCAGATTTGAAATCTGTCTTACCAAGTATTTTAACGTCATATCCAGCTTGTCTTGATAATACATCAGCCCATGTCATGTTGAAGTCATCAGGTAATGCTTTATAATTATTCCAAGAATCAGTAATATGGGTATGTAGCCCACTCCAAAGTGCAGAACGTGATGGGGCACATATAGGGTTGTTTGAGTAAGCATTGAGATATGTGACACCGCTTTTTGAGAGTGCTCTAATATTAGGCAATTTGACAACACCTTCATACCGTCCACCAGTGACTAATCTGCCATCCATAGAGTCACATACAATCACCACAATGTTACTATGTCCATTTTTTGTTTCAAACTGAGCCCCGGCTGCTCGTTCATGATGATTGATTGAAATAATTAAAATAAAGAAAACTAGCTTTTTAACTATATGCATCCTGAAGACCTAACTATTTTGATGACATGAAAGCACAATTTTTTCATATCAAATAGGGGGAAAATAAAGACGCAACAACAAAAACAAGGCTCAGTAATAAATCTAGAATGCGGAATGCAGGCATACAGTAATATAGAACATCTAACAGCATGATTGACAAATGTCTGTAGCCAGCCTATATCATCCAGATATCAGTAATTACAGTATTTATGGAATCATTCATGCACTCTTCAGGGTCATGGTAGATGCCTCTGGTTTGTTTTTAGCAGGGCTGGGGAGTCGGAGCTGGAGCTGGAGCTTGGAGCCATGGAGCCGTGACATTTTGATGGAGCCGAGGAGGGTTGGTAGCATAAAAGTCATATTGGGGATGGCAAAATAGGGATGGATGGCGAAATACGGTCGATTTTATTTCTACAATTTCTGGCGTCTCCAAACACTTAACAGAACTAAATAGTTGTATAATTAATCAAGTTACTATTGTTCTAAAATAAATAGTGTTGGATTATATCACGGATCTTGGTATTTTTAAACGGCTATAACGATTTGGCAAGATCGCAAAAATATGAATCAAAATTAATTATAATCGGGCAGTTTCCACACATTTTACGTCCGTAGCTTGTCATTTATGTCAGAGATGCTTTTATTATTTCGTAAGTCGACGCAACATTGAGTTACTTTGAACAGAATAAAAACAATAAGGCAAGTGCTGGTATCGGTAATGGGTTACATTTTTAGCACAATAGAAAATTATTTTCTGACAAGTCGTTTTTTTTTAAATATTATAAACAAAATTATTCGCCAAAGTGCAGGAAAAAGTATAAATTATATTTTCCTAATCTTCCCAATAAAGCAACTTATTTTTCCGAATTGCGAAAGTTTATTGGGGTATCGTAACAAAACGTATGAAAACAACTTATTTAATATATGACCTTGGTTGGATTTGATTTCACTTCCATTCGCTCGCGGGATTGGCAAGAATAAACGCTTTGCGGGAAGGTTTTCTAAAAGTGAGTGCGTTTAGTTATTAATAATAACTTAACATAATCACTAATTTCCCGACGTAACTGGAAATAAATGCGAAAATGACGACAATATCCACCACGCAACCGTGAAAGAATGCTGTAACGCGCACTGAAAAATGAATATATATACCAAACAATCTAACAATTCTATTTTGTCGTCTTAAAAACACATGACAAAGTGCATAAAATCGTTTGAAGATTTTGCACGGAAACGAAACAAACAAACAGCTTGCGAAAAGTGACTATTACTTTAAAATTTGAAAAAGTATCGGAATACTTTGATATAGCAATATGGACTGATAAAGTTATTTTGCAGTGGCGGCGCGTCAATAGGGCCAACCGGGGCAATGCCCCGGTTGTTTTTTCGGTACAATAAAAAGTATTCGAAAAATACCTCAATATCGGTTGCACAGACTGTCTACATTAGCCATATTCTCCCGACATGGTTCATTTTTCGCTCGCAAAGCCTTCGCCGAACGTCGACGTGGCGACGCCGATTTTGCCCCGGTTGCTCATTGTATATCGTATTCTCTCTTTTATCTTCCAGACGCCGCGGTTGTCTCGTTTGTTTTCTGTTTCTTTTACTAAATTATCGGGGCCGATCGGGGCTAGCCCCGAAATTATGACGATGCAATGCCGACGTTTCTTACAACAACGTGTTGACATATTCACGCATTCCTTCCCGTTAGTTGGTTGGTTGCAGCACAGTTGGATGAAGGACGCGCGGTTTCTATTCGTCGGCACAACCAAAACGTCGAAAAAACTGCCATGTTCTCGGTCGATTGATAGATGTTTTGAAGTTCATTGGTTGTCACGAGCTGTCCCTCCGTGGGCACGATGAACGGGCTGGCTCTTCTAATAGAGGGGTATTTTTGGATATGGTGGAATACACCGCATCCCTAGATACAGTATTGAGAGATCATCTTGATGCCGCAACTGTCCCTCCGTGGGCACGATGAACGGGCTGGCTCTTCTAATAGAGGGGTATTTTTGGATATGGTGGAATACACCGCATCCCTAGATACAGTATTGAGAGATCATCTTGATGCCGCAACTGTTTCGAAAGGGACATCTAAGGATATCCAAAATGATTTGCTCGACTCAATGTATAAAATTTATTTACAACATTTGGCTCTGGAAATTGAGAATTGCCAGTTCCTTTCGATTCAGTCTGACGAGACAACTGACATCACGTGCGTTTCCCAACTGGCTGTGATTTTCGGTTTGTGAAAGATGGTAAACCTACCGAGAGATTTCACAGCTTTGTACCAATCGTTGATCGCACGGCTTGCTGGATATCGGCTGTACTGAAAGAAGTGTTACAGCCTTACAACGCGAAGTCAAAATTGATAGCTCAAACTTATGACGGCGCGGCAGTCATGAGTGGGTCGAAACATGGTGTTCGAGTTTATATAAAAGAAGATTTTCCTCATGCGCATTTTTTACATTGTTATGCACACCAATTTAACCTCGTTATTAAAAATATGTGTCTTGATACCCCTCTCGTCCGTATATGCAAATGTTTCGGGGTTTTCTTCATTTTTTTCCGTTTCGCCGAAGCGCTCTGACCTCCTTCGCCAGATATGTAGCCGCCGTCTCCCAGCTTGTGCACCAACACGTTGGAACTTCCAATCACGTGTGGTGCAGGGCATGTCCGAAATTAGGTCTGAGTTCATTGAGTGTTTCAATGGCATTCAGAGCTCTCCGGTTTGGGACGAACGCTCTGTGAGGGAGGCGGCAGGTCTAAAGCGTCTGCTAGAAGATGGTGAGTTTTCATTTTTTCTCCACAATATTCTATCACGTGGATGTATTATACGGCGCATTGCAGTCAAGGCTAATGGATGGAGCGTCTGTGCAATCGTGTATTTCAGACTTCTGCGATGCTGTATCTCGTATCCTGGAAACAATAAAATACGACGACACATGGAGTGCTTCTTTACGCCGCGGGCAAACAACGCAGCGTTTGATTTTGTCTGCAAAGGAATGCTGTGACATTCTGGTGAATCAAATAGGCGATCGTCTGCGCACTGAACACCTTGCCGCGTTCTCTTTGATGAACCCCAAAAATTTTTCAAAATTTGCACGTCAATTTCCCATCCATTTGTTGGCTACTGTCTCCAAATTTTACCCCATGATAAACGTGGGTAAATTGGAAAATGAATTGCCATGTATATAGACCAATCAAACTTTTTTGAACATCACATCAACTTGCGCGCTCTATGGGTTCCTCATAGATAACACTCTAGTAACTACCTTTGCGGCGTCTGCAAAATTTCTGGACATCTTTTTGACGACGCCTATTTCTTCCGCCGACGCAGAGCGAACATTCAGCACGCTGAAGCGTATTAAAACGTATCTCGGAAACACAATGAAGCAAGATAGATTAAATTCCTTGGCTGTTTTATCCATTCACAGAGACGTTATTTCTGGGATGCATGACTTTAATCAGCGCGTTATTGAGCATTTTGCTTCCAAGAAACCGCGGCGTGTTGCATATATGTTCAAGCAGTAGAAGTCTAGCAGCATATATATCTATGAGTGAGCGACGCATGTCCTTATCTTTGCATTAACTTTCCTTTCTTCACAGTAACGTTTTAAACCTTATTTTAGGTTTTGTCTGCTTTCCCGAAGTTTCTGTTAATATGTCATTGTATTTATCTGGGTAAATATTGCCTTTCCTTTTGAAAGAGGTTTCAAAATAAACTATGTCTATATTTATTAATCCCTTGACTTGGACCGGTTTTAAAGACACTTTCTTATCGTTAAAAATTGTCGCTTTTGCCGATTGGTTGTTACCGATGGAATGGTTTTTATACTCATAAAATGATGGGAGAACTTACAGCGCTCATCCTGTCCCCGTAGATGGGGGTGACTTGGTCCCGCAGTACCTTACCCCGGTTGTCAAAATGACTACGCGCCGCCACTGGCATTTATAGTAAATACAATATGTAAAATATACAATCATATATTTGTAATGTTTGACACTATTAATTTTCAAGGCGCACTCAGAAAACAGCCGCTGATGATTTAGGCATGTAAACCAGTTTAGTGCCAACTCTTCACTTTCGGAATAGGCATAAAGTTCCGTTACAGTTCCATCGTTATGGGAAATAAGCAATAATGATTAGATATTTTAAAAGTATAATCAACGAAGTAAAGTCAAGCGCACTCATTTTGCAACAAAGGATTTGCTATCCAAGTTACAGGCAAACGGACCGACATAAAACGGACAAAGGCTTCTGAGAATAAAAAGAATTGCGGTGTAGAATTGCGCGTCAGCAAATACCGATTGGCGCGAGACTTGGAGCAGTTCATGTCAATACGATCAAGACAACAGGTATGAGATAGTGATTTCAACATAAAAAGGCTACTACTTTTATTTATTTCAAAAAATACAGTAGGCTTAATGGGATTCGTTTGGACGTCATCAAAAATTACTGTATAGGTAGAATTACTGTAGAAAATACATTCAAAAAGTTGACATGCACTTGGGTCAGATATATCAGAATTAGTTGGAGTTGAGGAACTGTGTTGTTGAAGAATCCTTGGAGTTGCAGGTATGCACATAACCTCGTGGATCCACAAAATTTACGTGCGTGTTGGTCAAGTATAATGATACCCAGGTGGGTGTGGAGTATATAATGTTGAGCGATTTTTTCTAAGTGGATATTAAGTATTCGTATCAAGATGACGCACATCCTAAACCCTAACCTGGTACACATACAATGTTCAGGTTGTGCGCCATCTTGGTACGAAAACCTCGGGAGCACCTTTTTGTTAAAAACAATTATTTCATAACTACATGAGTTAGTTTTGAATATATAGTAACATCGAATCTCTATACAATGTCAGAAACTCAATTACAAACTACATTTGTGTTGCCGCGGGCATTTCGTTTTCCTGCTTAAAGCGTAGTGACTTGGATAATATTTTATTAGTTGAAATGGATTGGAATATTCGAACTCGTCTTTCACTCCGAACAAGGCCATGTAAAACCATCCACTGGTAACTAACGATGTGTAACATGTTTTCTTTTGGAAAAACCGGAACTTTTCAGGTGCAGCATTGTCTTTGGCCAAATTAATATATATATCCTTGTGAAAATAGATGGTATGCGTATGCGAAACCGAGATGTGCACCTGTTATGCCAACATAGTTGAGACCAGTGTTCCCCCTAAGGTGTGCGCGTGTGCGCGCGCACACAGCTTTCAGAGGCTGCGCACACGCATAGATTTACTGCGCACAGAGGTATTTCGATGTAATGTAACAATGTGCTCGGTTGGCAGGTTGAGAAAGTTTGTTGTTGGCCCACTTATTACCCGGTTAGAACGCCAAAATTTCTTCATTGGTTTTTGCACAAATATTAGTCATTTCCAAAAAAGTGCGCACACACCAAAATTTCTGCGCACACATACTACAAAAATTAGAGGGAACATTGGTTGAGACAAACATTTTGGTCACTAGTACATCACACAAATTTTCCTGCGTGCTTCGGTTGTACGTAGTATCGCGCACATGCATCAAATTCTACTTGTTTATTGAGCTATATGTTTTTGACGAGCTTTTGTGTATGAATTCATTCCATAGAATTTGTATGCTGTTCTAAAGAATACTTGTTTCAGCTTTTTTATTCATTCAAACCGCGTGCTGGAAATAAGTTTTGTAATATTGCGTGTTAGTTTTCAACTGTTTTTTTTTTATATCCATCACTTGACATCCTCAAATCGGTGATGCCAGTAAATTTTTAATACAAAAAGATCATTATCATCTGCAATAAAAACAGCAGTACCCACTCAAATGACAGCTGGAGGATGGATACTCATAGTATCTGCTCCATCGCGTGCCTCTTATCAGTTTACATGAGTGCCAATTGGTATCTAAGCTCAGCCAGAGACAAAAAGTTTCGGACTGCGGTTGGCATGACGAAATGTTTTTAAATATATATACTACAATAAGATTATTTGATTGCATATTACGGAAAGTTACGCCTTATATGTCTTTTCTCATTGCACTATTCCTTTACTGATATTCGATAATATGACGCTCATCTGACATAGTTTTTTAGGTGTGTAGATGGGTATAATCTTTTTCACGCTGTTCAGATGGGTATGCGCGAATATATCTAAGAATCGCTAATATTGGTTTGCTATGCGATGAAATCCCATTTTGGCATTTCTGCCTCTCGCAATTGCTGCGTATCTTTATCGGAGAAGTTCTGTGGCGTGGTTATCAAATGAAGAAAACATGGGAGTATTTTTTCTACTTCTCTACTACTATCAAACCTTGACATTCTGTGAAAACTTTTTCCATTCAACCTTTTTTTGAAAAAACCAAACAACCACAACCAATTCTGTCATTAAACTTCCGAAACAAACACATAAAATCATCAAGAGATCCACCAAGTCCTAAGTAGATATTGCTAAATTGATTTTTATTTTACCATTTTTCATGTAATGCATTTTGGTAAACCTGTTATCTATCGTAAATACAGCACATTTGACTCTGTTGTAGTGAAACTTTTTTGGGCTCGCATTTTTGATATTTTTAGTTAGATCTCTTGGGGTTCTGTAAAACAAGTTACATACAAAATATTGGTTGTAAGTTGCAAAACATGATCATGTCGTTGGAATAACTTGGCATTTCACTATCCATATATCATTCATTGTCGAGAATATTAATGTAATCATAGAATCTAAAACCCGTTTCTGTGAATTTTTTGCTGTAGCTGAATTTGAAGGACAGCATGTCAACAGGCAAGAGAAGCACGGTCGCCTCTTTTAGTTTATGACAGGGTTTCCTAAAAGGGGACCCCGGCCTCCTTGGAGGCCACTGATGGCCGGGTTATCTGGGAGCACGAACAAACAGATGGTAATGCGAATATATATATATATAATAACAATGTATTTTTATAGAAGCGAAGAAGCAAAAGTGTCGAGAGCCTTTGGTAGTTTGAAAAGCATTGGCATGGAACATAAGAATGAACTACATTCTTTCCCAGGGATATACTATAAAATGTAGCAATTTTATCATTCTTGTTTTCGTGATAGCATTATCTTCTATACTGCATCGTCATGATCATCCCGCTGCATAACAATCGTTGCTGACAAATATTTGACTGTTCTCCACCGGTTGTAGCCTATATCTACTTGAACCACTGCCGACTGCAATTGCAGGCTTGTATTGTTAATTGCAACAAAAGCGGGTATTTTGAAATAGTACTCTTTATTTTACGCGTATGTTTCAACAGTATTTCAATATATATGGGTCGCGAACCAAAGCTGGGTTCAACAAATACCTAAATGTTATCAATTTTATTTCCTAGTAAACTTGGTGCTTCCGTAGTTTGTGCACCAAGAGATCTAACATATCCAACAAGTAATTCTGCAATGGCAGACTATTTCGATCTGACGTGGGCAAAGTACGGCCCGTGGGCCAAATCCGGCCCATTGGGTAATTCAATCTGGTCAACCTGATGCTGGCCCGAAGCTTATAGACCTTTCCCCAAGCAACGACTTCCTTGTTTATTTTATGACATTGGCCAATCAGCAAGATGCAAAAGTGACGTAGCAATACTTCCTTTTCGCATCCGCTCAGACACTTTTCTCACTCAGACAGATTTTCAGGCGTGGTCGTAAACATTATCGAGTTTTTGAACTCTATTCGTTAGTTTTCAGTTGTGTTTCGGAAATTTAAATATAAATCAGATAATTCAATGATCACTCTATCTTCTTTGGAGTTTTAATTTAATTACAGTAATAAAAAATTAGTGTAGATATAGCTGTGATAGACTTGGCTAAAATTCTTTACCGGTACTTTCAAAAAAATAGATTGTTGTATGCGATGAATCATAATGATGGTTTGAAACACATACCCCATTTTACAGACGCCAACTCGCGAATCCACTCTCAAAATAATCCCCGAAAATTTTGCAATGGTAAAGTATATGAAGAATTATCAGGGGTCAAAGGTCGGGGAAAGGTCCATTGTTTTCCAATTTTGCTTTCGTAACATTGTGAATATTGTTAATAAAAGGTTTCTGAAACTTTTTACGTCACACTTACATGGCCCGCCATTAGGTGGGCACAGTTTTTTAGGCGGCTGGTCCAAAATCCTTGCACACCTTGATTTAGTACATATGTCGTGTTGCCAAGGGCGGAAAAATTTGTTTTAAGAATTTTTTGAAAAATATCTAAAATATTTTGGTTGAACATTGGTTTTAAAAATATTAAATCTCCAAGTTTAAAGTCTAACACAGAGACGTCATATAACTTCGTCTATATTTAAGGACTTGTTGTAACCGCCTTGAAAGATTGTCTTTGTTCGAAGGGTTAATAATTACCTATATTACAGTATAGTTATTTTCACACAATAATGTACACGAGAGCGCTATCAGAGTACCTCACATCTTTGTAAAAAGAAGCACGGCGCAGTGTTTGATATGTGAAATAATCGTTTACTCTAGCACGCTTCAGTGAAGTAGTGCAATTTACTAAATTTGATGAAGGTTTTATTAAGTCACATCGCAGCAGTGTTTAGACGCCCATGCTTCTCACCTGATTACTGCCGTGGTTGCAGATAGCTAGGATGGGCAAATCGAATATTTTTATCGAATCGAATAATTCAAATATTTTAACAAATTGTCGAATATCGGCTATTCTTAGCATGTATATACAGCAGCGTCCAGGACGCTAGATGTTCTAAAGATGTTAAGCTACATTTTGCCCGACCTCTATTTTTACATGGACCAATACTTACGCAACAGCGAACATCGAGGTTTGTTTTTTTATATTTCGATACCGTGTTCAAATTTTATAAATTACCGAGCGAAAAACCAGAGAGAAACTGATCAGGTCGAAAGAGTTTGCATTCATATACGATAAATCGATCGTTAATTTATAAAGGCATTCGGTAACATATCAAGTTCATCAAATTTCCAGTGCAAGGTTTAAAATGAACGAAGGAAGGTAACAAGATTCACTAAGAATTGCCAAATGTTATTTATTTATAATCAAAAATATCAATGCATTACTTACAATGTCTTATTCTATAGAATTGTGAGCTAATTTTCGAGGTATTTTTTGTTGATTGTTAGCAGACGAATTATATATAACCTCATCCACTTTATGCATTGGGATATTGTTACCAAATACCAACTACTGTATACCATAAACTCATTTCGTCCCATTAGGTAATTTCTGTTTCGTTGGAAGATATAACGTCGTTCTTGCGATAGGTTATACCTTTTAGTCTTATTTCATAATGATGATAATCCAATCTCCGGCAGCCAGAGATAGTACATTCAATGATTTATTTGAAAATGAGTTTCATTTAGCAGCCAGACATTTGAGGAACAAAGTTTGTAAAGTTACCAATAACCGAGGAATGCTTTTCAAGCATTATCGGGGTATATAATGAAAATACAGGTAATTGCTGCGGTATATATATGGTAAATGTACTTGAACCAACTTCAGGTAAAATATTTTTAAACGGATGTATTATTTTTTCGTATTGGTACCAGTACAAAATAATAAATATTGAATCGAATGGAAAAAAACATTTTGTTGATAAAAATATTTTCATAGGCATCGAACATGTTGTTAGCTAATCTAATGAATACTACCATTGTTCAAACATAATATATATCATTATTTCTGTTGAAGGTAATCTCACGCATTCCGTGAGTTAATGTATAACTAATAAGTAACGGCAGTCCGTTTTGAAGTGGTCAAAATATTCACTAAACGCTATGGGGAAATTTTCTGGAAAAGTAGCAATTATTACAGGTAATAACTTATGCTTTAGTTGTACTGTAGGCTACGCTGTAAGTAAATAGGATTGACTTTAACGACACCCTTTTCATAGGTGGTTGCATATATATAAGCGGAATTCATCAACGCCAAGAAGATAGGTTGTATGTAGCCTTGCCTTGTTCAAATTTGAAATTTTTACGAAGTAGCTCCGAAAATGTATTGCAGTCATATATTTGAAACGTTGTTTTGATCTTGTTATTCTGTATTGACCACAAGTTGCTATGAATTGGGCGTATTTTGGAAATATTTTATATATATATATATATATATATATATATATTGTAGCAAGTACATAAGTATAGTTACTGTGTATTTTAATATTTTCACCACTTATTGTTAGTAGTGCATGTTATTTGCCTGAAACAAGGTCGTTGTCCCAATTTATTTCCTTTATGATATATTTCTCTCACTCAGTGTAGCTTGTCTTTGCCGTTCTTTGTTAGTTAGAAATTTGGTTTCATCACATATACTTGCTTTAAGGTTTCAAGTGTAATTCGTTATTTGGATCAATTCGATTGTACAAGTTTACAATATAACAATTGTGCTTTTTGACCTCTGAAGGAGTCAAGATCAGAGTGTAACTCCGATCTTGACTCCTTCAGAGGTCAAAAAGCACACAATGTATTGAATGCCAATTGTTATATTGTAAAGTTGTACAATCGAATTGATCCAAATAACGAATTACACTTGAAACCTTAAAGCAAGTATATGTGATGAAAGCAAATTTCTAACTAACAAAGAACGGCAAAGACAAGCTACACTGAGGAGAGAAATATATCATAAAGGAAATAAATTGGGACAACGACCTTGTTTCAGGCAAATAACATGCACTACTAACAATAAGTGGTGAAAATATTAAAATACACAGTAACTATACTTATGTACTTGCTACAATATATTCTAATATTTATCTCCTTGCATACGATGACCACAGTCACATGTTGCTTGTTCGAAGCATAAAATATGCAATGAAAATTATAATGTGAAAGTGTGGTTTTGAGTTTGCCTTGTTCAGACTCTGCGGGATATTTGCACTTGTTTCAGGTGCGTCTAGTGGAATAGGCGCGGCCACTGCTGTGGCTTTAGCGAAAGAAGGAGCAAAAGTGACAATATGTGGACGTGATCGAGAAAGATTGTCAAAAACGTCTAAGTTGTGCAATGAAGCTGGATCTGAGGTTTGATCACCCATTTTTTTTTATCTATAGGGCATCATGATCTAACACAAGACTGAAATAACAACGACCTATACGAAAACGAGAATTATTTTCTGAGGAAAGTAATGGTTTAAATAAATCTGATAGATTATGATGAAGACTCGTGGAATAAAATAGTTTCAACTAGAGGTTATTGATAAAGGGGAAGCTGATCAACGTGTATTATTCATACAGATGCTGGGGAATAACGAGCGGCTATCTTATATCCCGGTTGCACGTTACTTGTGTATTCGGCAAACATTCTCTCCCTGTTGATAACAACCTTGTGATGTCGCAATACTGTTTATTTTTTCTAAATAATTTGAATTCGCTTTTAACAGGTTTTGGAAATTGTTGGAGACTTGATAAAAATTGAGAATGTTGAGTTGGTGGTCAACAAAACGACTGAGAAGTTTGGGGCTATTGATATTCTTATCAACAATGCCGGTTATGGAATGTTCGGATCTATCGGCGATGTGAGTCACTACTCACTGTTGACAGTTGTTATTTACCGTTCTGGTTTTAGCTATTCTAGTAGTAAATTATTCTCGTTAAGGTACCGAACTCAATTGCATTTATGCATTGTTCTTATTTTTATAATTGCTCACCCAGCTCGCCGTTGATGATTTTGACAATATATTTATGGCAAATGTTCGAGCACCTGTTTTCCTCTGCAAATACGCTTTGCCTCACTTGAAAAAAACCAAAGGTAAAATTTCATTTTCGAATAACATGTTTCTGGATTGTCTCAAACTGACGATTTATTATTATTCTCAGGTTGTGTCGTCAATGTGTCGAGTGTTGCCGGACTAAGAGCCAAACCCACAGTTGTTCCTTATGGAATGACTAAATGCGCTTTGGATCACTTCACGAGAGGATTTTCAGCAGGTAATTGTTCAATGGTTCACCGCGTCGTGTGAAAAAATGTTGCTCTAAGTAAAGGCATTAGCCGGCCCTGAAGGAGCTAAATATATATATTCATTGTTACAAATTGTATGTATATATTTGTTATTCCAGAATGTAGTCCTCTTGGAATTCGAGTGAATAGTATAAAGTAAGTGTGTATTTTATTTTAATACTGTTTATATATATATAACTAAATTATGCGTGGATTTACAGGTTGTGTTGAGAGCTCTAAAACGCTGTTAGACGACCCGACCTTCAATGTCAACAAAGTATTGCCAAACTATTTTCTATACAGTATCAGGAAATCTATTGTGTGTTCAAATTACTGATTGATTTGACATATTTCATCAATATCTGTGTGTCCTAGCATTTTCCAAGGGCTTTTTATGGCGGTATTGCCGGTCTTGTAATGTGTCTTCTTTACAGTCCTGCAGCAGTACTGACAAAATTTGGAGACCGGCTCGGCTTGCCAAAGGAGTTTGTGGATGGGGTATGTAATCTATATATAGAGACTTTTGTCGAGAGTGAAAAATGTAATTGTTGGGATGAATTTTAAGAATGGTGTGGCGTAAACTAGTTGCCTGCGTTTCAAGTATGACAGTTCGTCATCGGCCGCTAGCGTTAGGTAGTGTAAGCGACTCCCGATAGGAATCAGCATTGATGTACTTGCTACTTTGGTTTTCTGACGCTTATCAACGTCATGTACCACAAGCATCCGCTGACATGTAGAAGCAACGCTTATCGGAAGGACCAGTTCAGAACCTTACGGGTTAGACATTGCCTATACGCCCTATCCCTTGATGAGGATATATTTTAATCATAGAAGCGTAACAACACTTTTAAATACCATTCGGCTTGATCATCGCCCCCACGATTGGTTGTTGGACGGCCGATTCGCCAGAGACGAAAATATTCATTTCCTTATTTGTTTGTATTCCTAACATTCATTTCCGTATACACTTTTAGTACATGGAACGACTAAAATCAACTCACCATTTTGGATTAATGCAGCCAGAATCAATAGCTGATGCGATATTATTCCTATGCTCGTCACCTCACATCACTGGAATATCTCTTCCCGTCGACTCAGGGTCGCTGAACGCTTAATTTATTATATTACACCTTCAGGTAAACTGCTATCGCGTTCCGTACATCGGGCACCAATAAAAAAAATATCAATTTTATTTCTTTTCAAAGTCAGTTTCTTATAAGGGCGGGGAGGTGCATATATGATAGGATGTTTGATAGAAAAGTTGTCAATACATCATAATAGTAAGACGAACCATGTGCTCTCGCCCAGTTGAGGGAATAGATAGCCATTTATTTGTTTCGGATGCATGGAATTAATAGAGCAGGTACGAAGATTAACGAGCCACCCTACCCTAAGAGATATTCCTAAAACCGCCATCTTGAAGCAAGACCAAGTAGAAAATAAACCAAAGACACAGATACAAAATAATATATTAAGCCAGCTTTTAAATAACCACAAAAATTCATCAAACATCTTATCGAGTATTTTGAACAATAAAAAGGCCATAAATTGATCATTTCTCAAAATGTGCGACATATAAATTTATCAATTCATCTATCTTTTTTTCAATCGATTATGTTTTACCAGTGCCAGATCATATTGTAAATGTGTAGCGTCACACCAGTCCCTCTGTAGTCTTATAACCACATACAAAATACAAGAATTCCAATTGTTATCGATAAAATTGCAATGATCAACCTACTAATACACACAATACAGCTGTTTTTATACTTTTCACTATGATAAAAACTAATTTGAGGCAAAAATATATATACGCGACCAAAATTATTTCCTATTTTACAAACTCTCACTGTCACTGTCTTGATGTGCTGCTGCATTATCATGATTCCGCCTCCTGTCTTGGAAATCATTGCGAATTGTGGTCTCCTGAAATAGACCTCCACGTCCAAATATGTCAGAATTAGCATTCATATCTGAAAACAAACAATGGTAGAAGACTAAACCACTGATATATTTAGGCAGAATTTTCAGATTTCATTGCCAACTATCATGACCTTGTCTTGTGTGAAATCTGGAACTTTCAATAATAGATTTTATTACCAAGACCTAGTAGTCTATTTTGTCTTATGAAATTCATTTTTCAAATGCCTTGGGTGAAAATACACCAGAATATAACATTAAAGATAAAAACAGTCAACAAAAAGTCTGAATATCAGTAACCACAAAAAACTCTGATTGTCAAAGCACTGGCTAATAGAAAAAAGGCAAGAGGTGCTTGGCGATGTTTTCCATAGCAATATTACAGATTATTTATATTCCATTGACATATTTATCATTCAAAAATCAACAAAATGCAGATATTCACAATTTTCACCATGAAATCTGATTCAATATTTAATACGTCATTCAGCAAATTGTTGAAGTAGTCTAGGTTCAGCTGGGCTGCCAAAAATAACTGTAACTGCAAGTATTTAAATTTGACTTCAGTTTGCGGAAGCCCTATTTAAGAATTTTTTAACATCATAAATACCTGTAGGAGAATGTTCCAATAAACTTGGTTCAAGTACGCTACCATCTGTTGCTGTGTCTTCTCTTTCCGACATATCATCTTCTTCATCATCAGGTAAATGCTGTTTATCGATAGCTTCCTTTATTTGATTATTTGCGCCTTTCGGATCAAGATCCATCGCCCATGAAAAACTTATCACAGCTAAATGATTCTGTTTTAATTTTTTATAAACCTGAATAAAAAGAAAACAATATGCTTGGTAACCAATAGAATTATATTTGGATGTTCTTAAGACTTATTCATATGACTAGCAACATACAGCCTCAAATATAGTTACCGAGAATGATCATAAGGAAATATTCTAATTCTAATTTTTTGCCATTGGCTCTAAACAATGCCATAATCTTTCAGTTTTGACATTGCCCACCCAATTTATTACAGCCTGAGTGAAGAGGTGGAGGGCCTAGGATTTGAACCAGAGATTTGTAATCTGCGACGCAAATACTTTGAACTGGTAGGACGTCACATTGCCTAATTTGTTGTACTTGTAGATGCATAGACTTGGATTGTGGAAGAAGACAAAATCACTCTGTCATGATAACTATTCCTGGCTTCGAACCCAGTGCATTGAAAGTTGGGGACATGAGAGAGATTAAAGTCTGATTCATGCTGTGACCAGGACAGCAGTGAGCCAAATTGAGCTTTACAGGGACTTAGAATTTAGGGCGCTCCAGAAATGTGTGAACTAATATAGGGGTAACTAATTTAGTTCGCCCACTCTACATCAAGTTGTGTAAAGGGACTGCTTGGGCAGAGGATATATTCACTTGGCTAACATAGACAGTCCCCGAACTCGTAATAGAACCAAAATAAGGAAAATGGGAATAAAATTATGGCCTAACCCTAACCTGGTACACACACTACATAAGTACCAAATTTAGAGACTCCTAGCCATCAGGTACTCCGGATTTAGTGTCTTATACCTAAAGGTACGATACAACTTGTTACCAGGATAGCATAAACTCAATTTGACACTGGAATGTACTCAAGAATTTGGAGACTCATACTCATAGCCAAAGTATTCGAAATTCAGTGTCTCATAGCCAAGGTACGATTCGACTCGCTACCATATCAGAAGTAACTCAACGTGAGACTTGGGAAGTTACATCAGAATTTAGTGACTCATATTCATTCAAAAGATACTCACTTTTCCCAATAAGAAATGAACTAAACTTTCTTTTGGAACCATTTCCTTCAATTCTTTTAATTCTCGAGCTGCATCTTCATATCTCTCTGCTGCGAATAAAACATTTGCTCTATGAAATTTGCATAGTGGATTACGAGGTTCCATTTCAACAGCTGTATCGAGAGTGCGAATCGCTGATGTCGTTTGCTTTAAAGCGTGTTGAACAATACCTAAAAATAAAATTCTAAAACTTGTAAAAACTTCTAAATAAACATCTACTTATATGTAGGGCTAGGACACTACTATGTTATAAGATAAACTTTCCAGTTAGATTCACAGCACTAGGGAGTGGGATCATTCAAAGAAATATTGCCAGGCACCTAGGAACAAAACTTAAGATAGACGTAAAAAGGTTAAAAAATTACGTATATGATAGGGATTGGGGATTACTTTATTTGGTGAGATCTAATATATATTAATTTTAAATCTGTTGCATTATGCTTTCGAGTTCACATTATTTATAATTTACCAGCAAATAACACAAAATCAATTCTTACCAATATGACACAATAATACTGAATTTTGTGGATTAATCGCAAACGCTTTTCTGAAGTGTATTTCAGCAATCTTGAATTTTTCCTGCTTATAATATATTGTGCCGATACCATACCTGAAAAAAGTACAACAGAAAATAGGATAACGTAGGATAAAGTAAAACATAAATTACTTCCTAAAATTAAGAATTAATCACATTGAACTTCTGAATTAATTTGAATATTCAATTTGTCTCTGAACTTACTGGGTGAACCGATAGGGATGGTTAATGAGGGGTACGCACTAAAATCAATCGATACATATAATAGTTGTTAAAAAGTGAGGCGCAGTGACCCAACAGTTAATATGTTGGACTTAACTATAATGTCGTCGCGAGTAAAATCTCAGGTACAAAATCCCCATGCCCACCATGCCATCACCTTTCCAAAGGTGTACTAAATTGGGTATGCAATGCCAAACTGTAAAGATAACTTTTGAGATAAAGCAGCTCCTTACATATCATGTGTCCACTTGTATAAACACTTAATCGGATCAATAAGCAGTATAAATATGTGAAATAAAAAATTGAAAAGATGAAATTTCTTTTATACATACCATGCATTATAATGTCTTGGATTCCATTTGACAGCATTTCTATAACAAGTCAATGCACCATCTAAATCTTCAATTAATCCCATTTCATGGCCAAGTAATGTGTAAGCGTATGAAGATTGGGCATCGAGTTGTATCGCCCGATGAAAGAAATTAACAGCCGACGAATGATCTCGTTGCAATGAGAAACAATTTCCAATGGCACACCAAGTCTAAATAGCAAACAAATAACAACACGAAAACAAAACTATTTTTTAAATAGTTTTAATGTGGCATACAAAACGGGGCCGTGCTGGTGTAAAATGTCAAACAACCTGTAAGAAGTTTTGCGGTGGCAACATTTTCAAAAGTACAATACAATACATGAGCGAGTTTTAAATTCTAAGATTCCAATATTCCGAATTTTGGAATCTCTCGTCATTGCTAACTATACACATTACCTCCTATTGTGTTCTTACCTCTGAACATAATTTATCCAATTCTTTCATATCGCGAGCAAGTCTTGACAATTCGACTTCTTTTTGTAGATGCCATAAAGTCGTACTATATATTTCTAATCCTTGTAGATGGTGAGGGACGATTGTTCGAAGTTCTTGGAATATATTAGCTGCCTGTAAAATTAACTCAGATTTCATCAACTGTATTATGTTTATGTATTCCATAGGTTAAACACATATATAACAGTCTATGAAAGTCGGCGAGGAGCACTAACTTGCTTGCATCGGTGCTCTCAATATATTCGTACTAAGATGGCGCACAACCTGAACATAGTATGTGTACCAGGTTAGTGTTGTTCAGGTTATGCGTCATCTTGGTACGAATACTTCCGAAGCGGCCTTGCATCAAACCATGCCAGGGTGCATCCTTTTCAAGTAATTCGTCAAAACCCTACGGTACTTATTGACAATACCATTAGATCCAAAACTAAATTCCCCAATTTTTTCAATTAGATAGTAGAACCTGCTGCTAGATAACCAGTTTTGGTTCCCCATGATTTCCCTTCCCCAGTAAAAGCACGATTATCCATTTTCTTAAAATTTGTGTATGATTGAGTTTTTACTGGTTGGAAAAAATAAACTTGACCAGACTTTAAGCAGACTTTGGAGCAAAACAACTCAAAAAGAAGCTCTATCTCTTCGCAGAGGTTGTAAAGAATGGGTAGACCAAGAAAACAACTTGATAACTTCAATTTTGAAGTTGAGAAGTTGTCAAAAATGCCAGCAAACTCAAGTGAACAGGATGAAATATTGGTCTAATTTTAAGATTCAAGTAGTAAGTTTGTGAATGTCATTGTACTTGTAATATTATATAGAACATTTCACATGTGGCGACAATTAGCACAGTAATTGCTATACATTCATTGACATAAGCATTTGTTACCTCATTATATTCTGTAAGTTCAAAATGAGCTCTTCCCAAAGCTGATAAAACCCATCCTGTATTACGCTGATGCGGAGATAAACTATTAAATATATTTATCGCATCTTTACATTTATATTGACAAAGTGCAAGATATCCATGTCCTATGTCTCTCAGAAGTGTCATCAGTCCTTCTGTTGAATAGATAAAATAATGAATTAATGGTTCTAGAAATTAATCTTGTTGAATATGGCCTAGTGTATACAGTGTTCGACTTAACTGTGTTGGCATCATAAGTTACACATCTCTGGTTCAAATCTGATTTCCATCACCACACACAGGTGCCAATAAATTGGGATGCACAATGCCAGACCAATACGATCATGGTCATCCAAAAATATCACATTCCTAGATTATCTTAGATATAGAGTGGATTCTTATACAGAGTGACAGACACGGTAAGACAAATATGGTAATTACAAATTGATCTTGAAACAGCCCTATTAGACTAACACCATCTATATTAGTTCAAATATCTCACCGACTGCACATCTCTGTGACGACAGCATTTGTGATTGGTTATTGATATTTCCTGCAATATTTTGTAGATTTTGTTTTTCGTGAGAAAGAATATCAGCTTTGCTAATTTCTTCTGACAAATCCCTGGCTGAAATTAGAAAAGGTTCAACATCTTTCAAATCAGACACTTGGATTTAGTAATTCAAAAACTAAACTTCAATAAATGGGAAACAATCTCAAAGCAGGGTCACACACACTCACTCAAAAGGCTAGAAGTCTCATTCCTGAGCAAAGTTACAGGTGACAAATGAAATGTAAAAAGCCACTGAAACCCCGTTTCATCAAGGTGGTACACCATGCGGATAGGGTTGAGGCTTGAAGCAATACAAGGAATTTTAATCAGGAATGCAGGTAAAAATAAAGTAAAACACTATGATAATTAATACTCAGTCTTACTGTCCTAATGAGACTGAGGAACAAGTCACAAAATGGAAGCTCAGAATGTTCCTGAATGTTTCCTTAAATGTTGTAAGAATTTAAAAGTTGATGAGAGCTATTCTGTTTGCCTCTAGATTTAACTAGATATTTCCAGAATTTACCAGATTTTGTAGTTGACTGCCTTGTTCTTGTATTTCGTTTCATTGAAGCTTTGGGTTGGTTAAATTTTTGTTTTCCAGCATTTCTGTTATTTTCCTGTGATAATAAAATATGTAAGATACGAAAATTCATAAATTATAAAATTGAGCATGTCAACCTACACACTGTTGTAGCAGTGGGCCTGGCTTAAACAAATGAATTAACCTGAACCCAGACTCAATGGATCACAGTCCGTCCACACTATGTAACTCCTCGTCAGTACAGTTTAGAATATAGTGAGAAGTATTATGGCGACAACATACACACTAGGAATGGCCAGATAACTTCGAGGGGTTCAATATTATGAGGAGAACGAACCACTTAGTCATAATACATTCTCCATCATTTCAATAATACCTTAATAGAGTTTCCAGCATTCGCAAATATTCTTGTACTTCTTCGTACTGGCATGGATTGCTGATTGGACGGAGTAGAAGATTGATTTGAGGTGTTTGTGTTATTATGTGAAGTTAATCTAGGAGTATTTTCAGAGGTAAAATTAAGTTTTCCAGCAGCGTTGTTGGAACTCTGGTCTGTCGAATGAGGTTTTCGTGACTGTCTTGTGATCATCTGGGAAAAATGAAAAAGTATTGCAGCACAGATATAACACTAAATATAAAAACTTAGTGATCCCCAAGCTTGGATCTGACAGGTAATTAATAAGGTAGTCACAAGGTATGTTGGCATTGATACTATACTTCATAAGGACATGATAGGCCCCAAAATGACAGAAAATTTAAAAAGCGGGGATAAGTATTCAACAAAAGGTTGACATTACCTTTTTTAGCGGAGCTGCAAACTCTTGTTGTTGAATTATATCGGCTGGTGTCACCATTGAGACTCCACGATCCAATACGGGACTCGGTGTGTCTGCTAGTGGCAAGATACCAAAGCTGTTTAGAGTTGAAAAATTGAAAATTAAGGCAAATTCACATACAACCAAGACTTGATTCATTGGTAAGATTTATATCTGCATTACAAAGACAACCAATTGGGTTTTAAGTTCAAAAACATTTTTAGACAAGATTCATACAGAACAAGCATTTTGTTCTTATAAGAAGGCAATTCATTCAATATTTTAGTTCTATTACAAGTTTGGGACTGTCTGTGTTCGCCAAGTGAATATACCCCTGCCCATAGGTTTCACTCTTTTTACACAAATTGATGTAAAATAGGCAAACAAAACTAGTTATGTCCACATCGGTACATATACTTCTGGAGCGCCCAAATAAAAATAACTCGGTTTACCTTGGTGTCAGTGGACTAAGTGTAGTTGGACCACTGATCAATCCTCTACCTATTCTTTGTTGTGTTCTAGTTGATCTACGAAGTGTTTGATTGCTTATACCTGATGTTATAGAATCAATGGAACTATCCCAGTCACTTCTATGATCACCAGCAGGAGTTGACTAAAATATAATTGTGAAAATAAAATTAATCCGAAGTTTACTTGGAATTTGGGATTGCTCCTTTACACAATGTTTTTTTTTATTAACACTTGCTTAAAATATGAAATTATACTTTCGACTGGCACAATACAGTGACATGTATTGGTTGAGTCATTAGTATCAGAAGATATTAGAAACTTCTAAAATGTAAACCACGCCATAGAACAGTGGTTCTCAAAATCTCATAATCTGTGGCTCCCTCCCGATGAGACTTAACACTCCCGTTGGCCCCAGCTCTTCTATAACAAAAAACAACAACTTTAAAAGTAATGTAGTCATCACAAATGGTACCTAGTGTAGGCTTTTGCTTGCAGCTCTTGAAGAACCCGAGAGTGACCCCTCAAGGGGTTAAGGGCCTAGTTTAAATGACTGTAATACAATATAGTCTAGCGATTTTTTCACCGTGATAAATACGAAATATAAATTAGGATTACCAAAGAATTTAAGATAAAAATGAAAAAAAAAAAAATTTGTCTATCTGGAAACCAAAACCTATGTAATTCATTCTTACTTACCCTAAAGAATTCTCCTCCTGGTGTGGCAATGGTTTGATCTTTTTGTGAAGTAGTTGATGAGGGCAATGGTTTTAAACTCCCGCTGGTACTTATTATTCCTGAGAAAAAAAATAGAATGTATATGAAACACAGTTAATACAAGATCTATTGCATGGCAAAAATTATTTGGAGATTACAAGCTGTCCCAGACCGTTAGAAGACTTCTTCGCATATTACACATCTCGTGTTCGAATCCCATGCGCCCCACCTCATCCAGGGTGCAATAAATTAGGTATGCCCGCCAAGTCGAAAAGATTCCAGTTCCAGTCCTTCCAAATATAAAGCAGCTTCTTACATATCTCTATATATAATAGTGGCCTTGCTTAAGCGTGGATATACATCATATTAAAAATTGTCGATTATGGCGTAGTTTCAAATGTAGCATATAAATCAGGTTGCATGACAATACCCACTCTGTTCAAGTTACCAAGATAAAATGAATGAAAGATAACGATGAATATGTTTGTCAAAATTGTTCCCTTTTTCAATGTCTGTGTGTTTAGCTTAGTTATTGCAGCTTTACATAATTTATTTATATAGGACTCGTCCAAAAATACATTACATTTTAGAATATATATAGTAAATAATTTGGTTCTGTCCATATGAAAGTATGAACAAAAACGTAAATGAAAAAGGTTTGAAACAAAGGGTTTAATCCAGGGTTTCCCAAACTGGGGTACCTGAACCCCAGGGGGTCCGTGATGATTGCACATTGCAAATTTTATTGCCTTTTGCAATCACCTACATGAGTGAGGAAACCTTTTTCAGCTCTTCCCAATATGATGACAAAATAAAGGTTGAGACATGTCGTCGAGTCGGATCTACGAGTTTGCTCGTCACAAATTGAATCAAGAATAGATAAATAGTACAGTGAAAAGCACACCTCACCCATTATATTAATGTCGTTTGTGTTGTGAATGAAACAGAATACTTCCGTGTTGGTTAGGCACATAAACTGACACGGCATAGGATGAGGGTCCGTAAAACATAGGATCCGCAAAAGAGGGTCCATGGCCCAAAAAGTTTGGGAAACCCTGGTCTAATCATACCACAATTTGTGTAACAATCTACCTGCAAAGTCAACCCGTGTGGGAGGTGGTGTTACCATATGTTCTGCATGAAGATGAGAAGTTGGAGCCAGTTTTGTTGAATGAATTGGTGTCTGTGATTTGCCGACTGCTGTTGGAAACCCAGATTTCATAGAAAACACTGAGGATGGAGTTACTGACATTGGAACTGGAGCGGTTTGCTGTTGTTCGGAGAGGTAGTTGCGATTCTGGTAACAGAATAAAATATATTGAATATAATCAATATTATGGAAGAATTAATGTGATTTTCTCATGTCCAAAGCTTACAGGAAATCTAGGTAAAGAATGGGACCAAAAAAAATTTTTTTTGTTACACATATATACTGACACATTAGCTTTCGGAACATATTCTAGAAGAGTGGTTCTCAAACTTTTCAAGCGGCGTCCCCATTTTAGAATTTGTCAAGTCTCTCACCCCACCTCAAAAACAACTAGCTAACAATAAGCTACAAATAACAGATAGTAAGGCGAAAGTGTGTTTCATTCGAAAAACATGTTGAAAATACGTGGAATGAACGTAAATATCCAAAATAAAGAAATTTAAATATCCATAACAAGGCAGGTAAGATCCAATCTAACAAATATCTTTATATTTAATTATTGGTACCTTTACACCCCCTCGAAAAAAAAAAACCTTGTGGAACACGGCCAACTGTTTAAAAACTACTGTTCTAGAAAGAACATAATTTTTGTGCAATGTGTCCTGGATTTCAGAAATTTTCATAAAGCATACAGAAGTTTCAAATACATTTCATAGAAGTAATCAAGAAATTTGAGGGTTCGTATTTTGAGTCACCTTATACATGAGAACCTGCATTCTATCAAATTGTTGAACTTGAAATCATTGTAACAGAAATATCATTGTTTTATTTTACCTGTAATTGTTTCGAGCGTAGTATGCTAGTTGGATCAGGGGCATTATTTTCCAATTCTAAATCTTTCGATAATGATTTTCTTCTTGGTTGAGAAACACGTTGCTGTTGCGAATTTATGCCTTTACGAAATTAAATCAAGATATATATAAAATACAAGCATTAATCGGGTTTATTTAATATCTGTAATCTATCAAAACTTAATTTTCAATAAACAGTGGGTATGAATATTATATGTGAATCTGTACTACAAAAATAAATGCACCTGAGGTCTGAAACACAGGAAATTGTGAACGAAAAGCAATAAAATTATCCACATTGAATATTTCATTCGGATTCGGTCTTTTGCCTGTGAAATATAAACGTAGAAATTTATCTAAAATTACTACTAAAATATTTATAATTTGGTAGAATATTCAAATCGTCCTTGGTCTTTCAGAAATGATTATATAAATAGGCCCTATATGATTTGTTTCATTTTATAATAGACAAGCTTGCATTATATGGAACTGGAACGTGATATTACTGTTGCAAGTAACGGATATTGTATATAAGGGCTATTCCAAGTAACACTACAAGACAATTCCAGAAATTTTGCATGTTGTTAAATTCAATATATTTTCACATTTTCAGCTACATGTTTTGTTTCATTGTCCAATCAGTTGCTTTATTGAATATGTAAAAAATTGCACAAAAGATACACCCAACCTTACTTAGTAAAAAAAAAAATATAGTAAAATATAGCGTGACACTACAGGACGGCAAATCCACCATGCACTAACAGTACGTTGTGTTGTGCTGTAAATTTTTGCGATGGTACAGTAGGAATAGGAACCCATAATATTTTCCGGTGCAGTAGCTGAACTACCCCTCTATGTGTTGCTCAAGTTACTTAATGTAACACTGTAAATCCATGCCAATAATGTGCATATTGTATGTGACACTACAGGACATTTTTCCACTTCGGAATAGCGGCATCTATCATCTCTTAAAATTCTGGTAATAAATCGTTAAATGGGTGAAGAAATGTTCTACAGCACTGCAAACATTCAAACTTTATTAACTTAAATCCAGTGCGTCAATTCCATATGAAATAACTGTACCACACAATCAAACACTTTGTGTCAGGAATCATCACAAAATATGTCAATTATACCAAATTGTATAATTTATTGTGAAAAGTTTTGATAGGTCTGTTTTGCTGTGATTCATGGACTTTTTGAAAATGCTAAAATTTTCCTATTAATTTTTCCAAAATCCCATTAATCACAAGGGACATTTTTTCATAATTGATTTCAGGTCAGATTCAATAAGTTGGCAAATGGACATTGTTTCACATTATTGATGTGTAGGCTACATATGATTAATAATCAACAAAGTTATTGTCGCAATATAATATTCAAGATGGTACAAGCACATGGCTCATTATTACGGTATTATTATTAATCTGCTTATTTAATTATTTATCTTTAATTTCGAATTAAATTGTTTTTTAATCTCTTATTAAAAAATGATAGGCCAGCATTGATGCAACAGCCATTCACTTACATTCAGAGTATATCGTAAAAATTATTCTTTGATATCATGTTTGATATCAAATTTGTAAAAATTACTATAAATCCACGGAGATTGGATTCGACAACTTCACAACTATTATATTTCATAATACAGTTGTCAGTATTATAAGTGGAATACAAACTTTTGTCTGACTAACAGTTTTTAAAATAAAAATATTTTTCTAATTTAAATTGAAAAATTAGGAATTTATTAATAAGATAACAAATGTAATAAAATTTTATTATTCTGTTGAATTATGATGACATCCCTGAATATGAAGTTCAACTGCGCTTGAACAGAAGACATTAACACTTTCATTCATTAAAGTTTTAACGCCTGTCATGGAAAACCAATTTAACCAGGGAACAATAATTGTTAAGTATATTTTATTACAACCAATAAACGAATTAGACTGCTACTCAAGTAATATACAAACTTACAAAGAGAAATTGCATTATTATGCGACATTTTTACAGGGTTTTACTTAAAGCCATATCTACACTGATATGCAAAGAGGAGCGAAATTTTTCGACCAGGCATTGTCTACCAAAATTATTAAGGCCTGGGTGAAATATCAAATTCAACAAGGTATTTGAATCAAGAATTTTTATTCATCGATGACAAAATAGTTAAAAATTATATTCTAACCTTGTCCGAAGTTTTTTATTTAAATTTTTTAATCACAATACTTGCCATCAATTTCAATACAACTCTGTGTGAAAATAAATTAGTCACACGAATCATTGATTGAAATTGATCTCAGCTTGATTATGTATAAACCTAATGTCAATAAATCAATAAACGACTGAAATGAGAAAAGTATGCATAGGAAACCTTTGTTTTTACTTTTACTGATGATATTGCACAGTAAATAGGACTTTCATTCGTCCAGCACAAACGAACTAATTAATGGTGGCACTAAATCTGTTGGGGAAGTTATCAACAAAATACAATCAAGTCAAGGCCCTCCAAAAAGTATTGGATGTACTTGTGATATTGTAAAACAGGTTGTCCTTGCTAATTTATGCAACATGTTATGCTACATGCAGTGTTTATTAGTTGAAAGTATGATAAATGGTAACCAATTGCTATTTGAATCATTTCATTAAAAGTGGGCCATTGGGCTGTCATACCGACAGCTTATTCGATCTAATAACGCTCTGCAAGATGAGTGCAGTCCACAAAGTGCAATGTATATTTTACGTAAAAATTTTAGACTCACACGCAAGTTAACCCTATAAAATATTTTTCATAGATTTAATGAATATACAACGTACCTTTAACTTAAACTTATATATAATAGAAACCACTAGTGTCTTACCAGCTTGACACATCTTTTCGAATGGCACCCATAAAAAAGGATTTTGTTTCAAACTTGCGAGTAAACAATGTTCAGCAAGATCAGGTCGTTCTGTTCGAAGATAAGTTCTTCCGAGTAAACTGAGAGCAAAACATGATGATTCACCAAATTCAGAATGAATATCATTGATAATATTGGTGATATATTGCGATCCATTCAATTGTCTTGGTGAAAAATTAAGTCCGAAAATTTGTTCTACCTTGGCATACCTGAAAAAAATGGTATCAAATTAGTATCAAAACAATAGAAATACAGGTTGCAATCATAATATAGTACAGTTTTGAGGATGCCTCGAGTAACTGACTCAACTAGGGTAATCATTTATCGAAGACTCAAAAGTAACTCGCGTTTTTGAAAAAAATCGTTATCTATGCCATTTAGACTTGACCCAATAATTGACTCAAACTCGACCAAGACTTGGCTCATGGCTTGGGGTAAAGAGACTTCCACCAAATACTGCTACAGTAAAGTGAACTTATATTCTGACTTGCGTCAAGCATTAAATTACCTTCAATAAACTAGATTACAAGAAAATACCTGTGATCAATTATTTATTCAAAGCTCCAACATAACTTCAGAAATCAATAGCAGTTTACCTAAGGTCCAATTCAGGGAGGTCCAAGGTTGTGGGCTCCACAGGCCACAAAATTATTTTGGCATTGGTCGCGGGCCACAATAGTACCAAGAATAGGTAAACAGTGCAATACAAAACAAGCACTTCTATTGTGTAAACACATAGTTGCCAACCTAGGCTAATGGAATCCGCATCCGATTTAGTTTTCTACCGATTAGTTTTCTACCATGCCTATATTGTTAGCATATATTCCCGACCAAAACGATTTAGACTGCCCATCACATCTTCAACTTCGCTAGTTGCTTCAGCTAGCCATCATACTAGTCAATTCAGTCACAGTAGTGATATAACAACAATATGTTAAACGATTTTTCTGATTTATTTCATGAGAAGCAATTTAAAATACGATATTTTGATTAGGCCTACTCTCCGAATGCGGCGCGGGCCACAGATAATGGAGCGTCGGGCCACATGTGGCTCGCGGGCCTGGGTTTGGACCACCCTGGTCTAGTTAATCAAGTGTAAATGACAATCTACCAAGAGTGTTTGTTTAAAAAAATCTTACTCTTCCAATTCCCATGCACATTGTGCATAAAGTAACTTGCATTCAGGCATCGTCATCCCATGTTTATCAAGTAGCATTTGTGTTATTTTAGGTTTTCCTGATCTGTAATAAGCAGTCGCCAACAAGAAGAGCGAATCACTTGATGCAACTGTAATAAAAAAAGTTTATATTAGACAGGATAGGAGGGTGGGTTGAGGTAATAAGATTTATATTTGTATGCTTGTAATATTGTAAGATTTCATAGTTTGCAAAAATGAATCACTTGGGTAAAATGTAGGGACAAACAAAGAACCACTCCAAAAAGTTATGCCATTTATGTCATGTCTTTCCCGAATATGAAATTTGATTTATCTTGGCTCATTAGCCGTTATAATTAACTTTGTTCATGTGAACCGTAATGGACTCAGAATCAGTTTTAATTGTTTCACTACATTAGCTGCTATTTATTCACAGACTGAAGAGGTTCAAAAATTTTAAACTCAAATTTCTGTATTAAAAGATTATCCGTAAAACTTCTTATTTATCTGCTTTATGAAAGTGCCAGCTTGAATTGTTTTAAGTCCTATCACAACCACCATTTACTGATATCTCTCTGTTGCAATGATCATAGTAAGTCATGATATTTTTACATTAATATTATGATTTTTACTACTATTAGAATATGATATGACAATTCTGTCGGAAAAAGTTTATTCACAATAAACAAGATAAGAATTGCATATTTGGATTATCAATTCAACTATCTGAATATAGATATCCCAAATTGCTACTAGTTATACTCCAATACAAAACGATATGTATAGTCAAGAACCACGCAGCATACAGTCCACGGACAGCCCATGGAACATATTCACGTAACAGACTTTGTATCCCATTATTTTTGAATGAGTTTCATATTTTGAAACTTGCATCATCCACCTTTTTGACATTGTGTTATGTCACAATTAGATGAAATTTTGTTTTGTCAAGGATTTAATAATATGATATCACTTTATTTTTCTGTGTTGTGACTGAAGGGATTGTTCGATGGTTTGGCCCACAATGTCATATTTTGAATTTTGCTTGATAAATCAAATTATGAAATTTTCACAATTACTATTTTTCCTACATCAATCTGTTTGATATTTTTTGCAATTTCTTAAATAAAAAATATGAGAAACCTGCCTTCAGCAAATAGTCGTTCTGCCAGAAAGATTGCATCGGCAAAGGCATAATGGTTGAGAGAGTGCCATATGGCAGCCTGAAATTAAGACATGTATAATACTTTATTAATTACAACTTTATGATACCAACTAATCTTAGGCTATATAATCCTTTAATCACTTTTTGACCTGACGACACTGAAGAAATGAATAAAAATCGCTACAAAAAATTAAAAATGTGTCTTCTGAAAGTCAATGTTTGCAGATTATAATTGTAAAAACATTATTGTCCTACAGTCGGACAGTATTAATAGTTGCCTTGAGTATCTCGTTAAAGGCTTAAATATCAAAGAGCGAAAATTATTGGAGAATACAGGAAAAACTGACTGCTTCAACCATTGATAGATTTGCATTACAGCAATAAAACATTCAATTCTGCAATTGGAAGTGTTCTACCGTTCTTTGAGGTAAATGATGGTCAAAATATTCAAATACTAATGTTATAAACTGTATCGATGTGGTTACCTTGATTGGTTCTTGGATGATCGTCATAATCCTGTACCGGTATACACTAAGTTAATCAAATTAATCCAAAAAGTTGTACCGGTATTCATTAATCGGGCGTTGGACTCTAACTTGGAGAAACTTTCATCAGATTGCTACAAAGACTGGATATAAACAAATGAATTTATACGGTTCGGTACTTATTAATACAGCAATACAGTATCAGTACAAGCAACTAGCAACTACAGAACTACCGGTACGCTCCGACCCCGCGACCTTTCCGACCCGCAACCTTCCCAAGAAAACGCAAAATCTGCCCGTTGAGTCTCGACACTGAAGTAGTTTTTATTGTCTTTCTTGCAATGTGAGCACCCATTATATGCGCGTGTTATCTGCTTAAATAAATTATTTCCCCGTGTCACCTATGAAAACTACAAAGTTACTATAAGCTTCAATTTGATTTAAATTTAGAATAGAGTCACACAATATAAATAGTTTTACTATAATTTTCCACTATAGCAAAAATCTCTCTCTTTAGTATTCCAAAATAAAGTCTTCTTAAAAGGAAAATGTAGGTAACCCAAGTAGCATCGCGCGGATTATGCCGACCACGTTCTTACTGGAATTATTTAAACCAGGGATGTGCAACCTTTAATACAGTGGGCCACCTAATTTAAACATTAACGTATAAACGCAAACCATCAAAATGGAAATATTCATTTCAAATGATTTCATTTTCGAATAAAACCTTGGACCGCAGTCAATTTCCAAATATAGGTATCTCAAGAGTTTTATTTTTCATAAATTCATTGAAATCAACATTGATAATTGTCTTTGGTAAAGGATACATGAAAATATTGAGTAAGGCATACAAGATATTTGTGCATTCGAAACGGCGTCTCTGATAGGTGATTTCCAATACTATATATATACCAGGGCTTTACGAGAAGCTTTCTAGGGGTACTAGGATGGCAGTTGAGTTTTCATGTGTTGCTATTTCCTTCATATATTCTTTAAACCAGTGGTTCTCAACCTTTATGGCGTACCGATAAAATTGAATAAGATGTACTCGCGGACCGACAAAAAATTGAAATGAGTGGAAGAGAAAATAATAACATATATATATTTGCGCAATATAACGAAATGCCGGGCACCCACTATGCTTCTAGATAAAGAAGGCACACTTGAAAACATTTTACATGTATAAAAACAAATAATGCGTCAGCCAAAAACCGAAATGAGTGGATCAAACTTGGCCCAGAAGAAGACATAGATGCTTTGTTGGTCAGCTGATCTCATATTTATCCTTCTGCAGTTAATCAACGCATCAAACAAAATTTACATTAAGATGAATAGGTCATCGTTAACTTGGCACCAGGTACACAGTCCTGCTGTGCATCACATGGAAAAGATCTCTGCGGCCCATGATTTTGTTGTGCGCCTCGTGACCACCTGTAGGGTCGCAACAAGCTCATATTTTACTAGATGTCAAGGCGGACCCCTGGGATATTATACTGTCAACGACTGTTTTCTGCCATAAACAAAGAAATATTCATAACCTTTTATTTGGATGTTCATATTGAACAGGAAAAGCATGCAGAACAGAAAAAACACGTGTGTCATTCTTTGGGTTTCTGAATCTCGCGAGGTTGAAGGATGTTTTCGCGATGAATCGGAACCGAAAAAGCGAGAAGTGTGATTACTCGGCGCCAATACGTCTTAATACCGCGAACAGCAATAGGTTGGCGAAAGAGAAATAGCGTAATGAACAAACCCAACGTCGTTATTTCGCGTTCGGTAAAGCGATTTAAGACGGTTGAAAAACACATAAAAATTTCTCGAGGAACGACAAAAAAGCTTCCGGTCAGTGGGCCAGCGGCTGGGAACTACTGCTTTGAAAAACAGTTTATAAATTATTAGTCAATATATTACAATTTACAACTTTGTTTGGTGTCTGATTACTGGGAGTTCGAGTTGATTATTTCACGACTCGGAGGTACTTAACAGGAAAGAGGTTGAGAACCCCTGCTATATACATAACTTTCACAACGACTTTTGAGAATATATTTGACGACTGTCAAAGCTTATTAAACTTCGCGAAGATATGTATTCAACTCTTATTTGCCATTTATGGGACTAAGTATGATACAATTCCTCTTAACAATGAAATTGTTTTTTATATGAAAATGATTGACGGAATCCCGACATCTTTGGATTGCTGGTTGTAATTTATAATTTGTAAATCGTGGAAAGGATATAGAAATAGAATATTGGGTAAATCAGCTGCTTTTGCTCGATAGTTCGTGTTTTAACTTAAGTCATTCTAATCCTAAAATTAGAAGCAATCTATTAGTCGTAAAATACGTAACAATCAGACGTCCTATATAGGTTACATGACGATATCGCGTCATGCTCCGAGGATACTAAAACCAGCATAAAAGCGAACATTCGTTAGGAGAAAAAAGGATAACTACGGACAAGTAATTAACGAACCTCGGGCCTGCAGTGCAACTTGGTAATTTTGCCTGGCTTATCAGTCATGATTTGGAACTGTCCCTTGTATTTGTAAATTATACAATTGCAATATATGTATTCGGAACCAGGAGTATGTCTTCATCAGATCAGAACAGCAGAATCAGACAGCAAGTATTCATTTATTCCCTAAAAGGATTCTAACTTATTGGAAATACAGTGAGCAAATTGAAATATTAGTTAATATGTCGATTGCTCATGTTTTATCGTATTTCGATACCTGGTTATTTAATCAGTTGTGGAACAGTGTTTGGGAACTTCAATGAGAATTTGTTTATTGCATGTGCTGAAATATTTGTCTGTTATGATAAACGATCCGTGAATTGAGTTTGCAGTTGCACCCGAAAGACCAGTAACCCAATAAGACTGATTAGGTTACAATTTTTCAGTTTTAGAGAGAATTTTGTAATGAATATTTTTGTCTCTTCCATCATACCTACTATTCCGGACGTATCCCGTAGTCAGACCTTCCATTACAATTATCGCAGTTTTATATCGTCATTGATTGATTAAATATTTTGATAAACCAACCCTAGAGTCCTTGCAACAACAAAAAACAAAAACAACAAAACAAAATAGCCGGCTAACTAATCCCATGCATAGACTGGTAACCGTACGAGTGGCTGTGGTGGTACGCTATGTGAGTAAGCCGCCTCCCTCTTACCCGGGATAAAAATGATATCCTACCTCCAATACCGCCTTCTAGTGGCGGCGCGTGGTCATTTTGACAACCGGGGCAAGCTACTGCGGGACCAAGTCACCCCCATCTACGGGGATAGGATGAGCGCTGTAAGTTCTCCCATCATTTTATGAGCACAAAAACCATTCCATCGGTAACAACCAATCGGCAAAAGCGACAATTTTTAACGATAAGAAAGTGTCTTTAAAAACCGGTCCAAGTCAAGGGATTAATAAATATAGACATAGTTTATTTTGAAACCTCTTTCAAAAGGAAAGGCAATATTTACCCAGATAAATACAATGACATATTAACAGAAACTTCGGGAAAGCAGACAAAACCTAAAATAAGGTTTAAAACATTACTATGAAGAAAGGAAAGTTAATGCAAAGATAAGGACATGCGTCGCTCACTGATAGATATATATGCTACTAGACTTCTACTGCTTGAACATATATGCAACACGCCGCGGTTTCTTGGAAGCAAAATGCTCAATAACGCGCTGATTAAAGTCATGCATCCCAGAAATAACGTCTCTGTGAATGGATAAAACAGCCAAGGAATTTAATCTATCTTGCTTCATTGTGTTTCTGAGATACGTTTTAATACGCTTCAGCGTGCTGAATGTTCGCTCTGCGTCGGCGGATGAAATAGGCGTCGTCAAAATGATGTCCAGAAATTTTGCAGACGCCGCAAAGGTAGTTACTAGAGTGTTATCTATGAGGAACCCATAGAGCGCGCAAGTTGATGTGATGTTCAGAAAAGTTTGATTGGTGTATATACATCGCAATTCATTTTCCAATTTACCCACGTTTATCATGGGGTAAAAATTGGAGACAGTAGCCAACAAATGGATGGGAAATTGACGTGCAAATTTTGAAAAATTTTTGGGGTTCATTAAAGAGAACGAGGCAAGGTGTTCAGTGCGCAGACGATCGCCTATTTGATTCACCAGAATGTCACAGCATTCCTTTGCAGACAAAATCAAACGCTGCGTTGTTTGCCCGCGGCGTAAAGAAGCACTCCATGTGTCGTCGTATTTTATTGTTTCCCGGATACGAGATACAGCATCGCAGAAGTCTGAAATACACGACTGCACAGACGCTCCATCCATTAGCCTTGGCTGCAATGCCCGTATAATACATCCACGTGATAGAATATTGCGGAGAAAAAAGCGAGAAAAAATGAAAACTCACCATCTTCTAGCAGACGCTTTAGACCTGCCGCCTCACTCACAGAGCGTTCGTCCCAAACCGGAGAGCTCTGAATGCCATTGAAACACTCAATGAGCTCAGACCTAATTTGGGACACGCCCTGCACCACGCGTGATTGGAAGTTCCAACGTGTTGGTGCACAAGCTGGGAGACGGCGGCTACATATCTGGCGAAGGAGGTCAGAGCGCTTCGGCGAAACGGAAAAAAATGAAGAAAACCCCGAAACATTTGCAAAAAATATACGGACGAGAGGGGTATCAAGACACATATTTTTAATAACGAGGTTAAATTGGTGTGCATAACAATGTAAAAAATGCGCATGAGGAAAACTCTCCTTTTATATAAACTTGAACACCATGTTTCGACCCACTCATGACTGCCGCGCCGTCATAAGTTTGAGCTATCAATTTTGACTTCGCGTTGTAAGGCTGTAACACTTCTTTCAGTACAGCCGATATCCCGCAAGCCGTGCGATCAACGATTGGTACAAAGCTGTGAAATCTCTCGGTAGGTTTACCATCTTTCACAAACCGAAAAATCACAGCCAGTTGGGAAACGCACGTGATGTCAGTTGTCTCGTCAGACTGAATCGAAAGGAACTGGCAATTCTCAATTTCCAGAGCCAAATGTTGTAAATAAATTTTATACATTGAGTCGAGCAAATCATTTTGGATATCCTTAGATGTCCCTTTCGAAACAGTTGCGGCATCAAGATGATCTCTCAATACTGTATCTAGGGATGCGGTGTATTCCACCATATCCAAAAATACCCCTCTATTAGAAGAGCCAGCCCGTTCATCGTGCCCAAGGAGGGACAGCTCGTGACAATCAATGAATTTCAAAACATCTATCAATCGACCGAGAACATGGCGGTTTTTCTCGACGTTTTGGTTGTGCCGACGAATAGAAACCGCGCGTCCTTCATCCAACTGTGCTGCAATATTAACATTTCCGAATGTTCGGTATTTTACTGCATTGTCCAGATGCTCCATAGAAGATTGATGATCCCTGGCACGCTCGGAAAGATGTTTAAGATCTCTAAAACCAAATTTACACCAACGTGAGTCACGGGCGGTAGCAAAAAGTAGGCAATAAAAACAAAAAATTGCATTTTAGTCCTCGCTGTAACACAACCGTTCGTGTTTTTTATACCAAGTTTCTGCGCAGAATGTACGCCGACGCTTTCCTCCGTCATGGGATTGTTCCAGTGAACAATTTTTTGGTTGATAAGGCCCAAGACGTTGTACCTCTAATTTTTGTTCCAGCGCCAGCTGCGAAAACGGAGTGCGAAGTAGTGCATCAACCTTATTCGTTATGAGGTCTAAGGCTAAGAAATGCGAAGCCGGAAAGAAGTGAGGAGCTTAAAAGGAATGTGGAAAATCGAAAGCAAATGGACTAAAGGTCTCTAACTGATTCAAATAGCGAAACAAGCGACAAAAACGAAGGCGAGGAAACTATCAACTCTTCAAGCAACCAACGAACGAGAAGGAATGCGTGAATATGTCAACACGTTGTTGTAAGAAACGTCGGCATTGTGTCGTCATAATTTCGGGGCTAGCCCCGATCGGCCCCGATGATTCAGTAAAAGAAACAGAAAACAAACGAGAAACCGGTTGGCCGGTTGGCTACTGCGGCGCCTTCCATAACTAACGCAACATACTCAAAGTTATTTAATTATAACCGAGTTTACATCTTGTTGTTATTCTTTTACATTTATTCAATGGATGTAATACTATTATTGAAATATACATCATTTTTTAGTTTCACAAAATTTAGATCACAAAAATAAATAAAATAACAAAGAAATATTCAATAACGTTGACTTATAAATGAGATAAAAATTGCTGCTTATGTAAAAGCAGCAAGTCTGACAATAAAAAATAAATGTATTGCAATTGCCCTCTAATATGTAACCACAGTGTTAACATCATGAGGAAACTATAATTATATTAAGATAAATATCGAAACAAAAAGTAATTAGACGGAGTGCCAATCTATAATCTAAAATTTCTGATACCCCAACTGTTCCAAATCAGATGTCTGACCATAATCAAATACATAGTATGCTGGGATAGTGAAACAGTACAATATGCGGACCTTCCTCTTTGCGTCGTTTACGACCCGGTCGAATATTAGGAAGGTTATCCATCAAACTCTGTGATATTTTTTATGCTTTTGACGCCACATTGTTTTTTACTGAATTATTCAAGTATATTATATACAGTATAAATATATAATACCTATGTACCTATGTACCATGTACCTATATGTATATATATATATTGTTTTGACGTTTGCCAAAAAAACAATAAATTCTTTTTTTCTCACACATAGTTCATGGCATATTTTCACAATTTTATACTACGAACAAACTTAATTAAAAGTCATTCAATGTATTTCAAGACTTCCAGCTGCCCATATGATAGCTCAACGCTTTTTTATGTAAGAGATCCTTCAAATGATGATTGGGATCATATGTATTTGTGTACTACTATCTGTTCCTCTTTGATGCCGTCGATAGTGACTCGGCTTCGACTTCCAAAGCAGCATTATAATTTATTCTTTTCAAAATTCACACAACGTGGCTTCATCCATCGCCATAAATTGTACTGTGAATCCATTCTAAATAACGAGAAACACGAGTGTAGACTCCAGGTGAATCTGCGTCTGCGCATTTGTATCCCCATGACACAATCCCGGAGACATACCACGATCCATCCACTCTGTTACACATTAATGGTCCGCCACTGTCACCCTGTAATAAAAAAAACATGTAGATACAAACAAATTTTGCGCACCGTTACTAGAGTTCGGGTTTCACAGGAGTGCTGCATTTCTGTCGTTGAATTGCGCACATTCACGAAGGACAACAAATAAAATAGAGAGTCTGTGGGGCGTCCAATAGTTCTTTGACCCCTAATTTAAATCGTTACTGGATCAACAAAAACCATATTAGAGTGATTGGATACGTTTAGTGGACATAACGATCGTTTTGTTGTTCTTGTTCTTGTTGTTCTTTGACTCTTTTTGGACACCTAGTGGAAATATTAAAAAACCGCTTTTCTCTTTGATCACTGGACCAATTGCTTTGAAATTTTTAGTGGTTAAAGATGAAATATTTCCTCAGAAAGCTATTACTTTTTTTTTCATTTTAAATATTTCTGTTAGCTCTGTGAGATTTGTTTTTGTTTGCTATGACGTCATTAAACGTTCTGCGGACATCTGGCGCCATTTTGTGTCCTACTGTACTGCTTCGCTTGGTGTGAATATATTTGTAGACTGTGATCTGACGCAAAGTGACTATAAACCAAGTGGAGACACCGAGTGCAATGATGCATATCGGACGCCATTTTGTGTCCAAAAAATCGGGGGAACGCGACAGCGTCGGTTTGTTTTCAGCTTCACCAGAAGGTCTCGTTCGTTAATTTGTTTGAAGATTTTTTACTGTTTTGCATTTTATTGGGGTAATTTCATCATTTTTCTTTTGCTATTTGCCTCGTGGAATCATACTGGTATCGTGCGGTTTCGTGAAAGTTGCGATAGTTATCTTATCATCCCGTATGAGTTATGCAACTTTGAAACCTCATATCTCACGAACCTTATATTAGATGCAGATAAGTTTTATATTGTTTGAAAGACAATCTAGGAGGCTAATTATAATTATGAGATGGAGATAAATGTTGCGATTATCATACAAAAATCTGCAAAATTGAAAATCGTGAAATTTTTTTGAAAAGCTTTTGAATTAAATACCAAAAACTTCTATTTGTTCTTGTTTTAACCTAATATGACTTCGACACATTTGCAGAGGTTAAAGATAGATTTCGACATTAGATAGAATTTATCGTGCACCAGTAAAATTGTATAAGCTATTTCATTCAATGTTCTCCAATTCTTGACATGTCCACTGCGCAAACTTGAGTAAAACAACAACATTCCCTAATTACTTCGTTACGCAATTACGCCGCAACGTAGCAACGTTCTGTATGAAAAAAACATATCGCTTTCCTTCGCAAGTGTGAAACGTCATTAACCTATTGCATACGTTTAAATCAGGTACTATTTGAACTGGTATTATGATACCTGTTCACACCATGCCGAAAGTTTGAAGCCTGCGTTTTACATTAATCATTCCAGAAGCTGATGAAATGAATTTTCTCGGAAAAATGTTTCTTAATAACGAGCTGTTGCAACAGTTGCTCCAAAAATTATAGAATGTAAACGATCTCATGGCTAGCACATTGTGCGGCCTAATGAATTTCATCGTAGCATGTACATTATAAGGTACAAAATTTAAAAACCAGCCGCCGCGACTGGTGTTGCATCTCTTATCACAGTGGTTCTTAAAGTATGGGTCGCGACCCAAACATGGGTCGCGGAAGGTTTAAAAATGGGTCGCGACAAGGTCGTCAATGCAAGGGCAATCTAAGAGGAGAAGGACGAATTTTCAGCTTTCCCAATGTTTCAATTTAGCTTCTAAACTCTGGTATTTAAAAATAATGAAATAAAAAATTTCATTCACGGAAAGAACTGTCTTGAGCTCATTGTTACATCACAATTCTGATATGCCAGTCACGTGTATTATTTTTATGGTATCGGTAACCATGCACGTCGCTTGTCGTTGTGTTGACCGCATGGAATGTCGTCTTAGTGGATTAAAATAACCAAAAATGGGTGTCTTTTGGTAATGAAAATTGTAATAGACGACGCAATGAAAAAGCTCGCTTCTCGACATTAGATTATTCAATATCTAGAGAAAATGTGACTTCATCTCGAGGCACCATTTACCGCGAACGAAGCAGTGCGTGCACATGTGACGAGTAAAAAGTTGTATATTGCGAGAGATACCGAAGGCCAGCTAGGATGTCGTGTTTGCGACGGACAGCGGACGCCTTTTCTGCTACAATTCGCGACAAGGCACTTGTGCGAGCGAGGATATTTGGCACTGACGGTTATCAAAACTAAGCTCGCAATCGCTTTCGATACCCGTGACAACTTGCGTATTGCGTTAAGTAAAATAGAGCTGTGTATTGAAGATATAATGAAAAAGGAAATTTCAGTTTCATCAATCTCACTGAGTCAATGGACTGTTTCTAATAAATAGTTGTCTGTATTTGAGTCAGACTGTACTAACATTAAAAACACATTTTGCGTTTTTTAGGATTGGGTCGCGAGTATTCATAAAACTCAGATTTTGGTCGCGCTCGAAAAAGTTTAAGAACCACTGTCTTATCAACTTATTATTGGGAGGATATTTCGATTCTTTTGCGTCGAAAAATGTAAAATATTTACTAGGTGATCTAGCGACGCCACCATGCCTTCTACGTTCTCGTTGATAAAACTTAATTGTAATTTTATCGATATCCAAAGTGAAAAATTAGCCTTGATGTTTTCGGGGGAACCCTATAAAGACATGGGGTTTAAATTGTTTGTTGTTTCTATGAAAAGTGTCAATCCCGATAAATGCCCACAATCGTTACTAACTCTTTTCAGGTCTTACACACCTAATAAATATTTGAAAATTGATAGTTTTACCCAATATTTATGCCACCCATCCAAAAAAGCAATCGTATTTTTGCGCGAAGTATAAACTATATTTTGCGCAAAAATTAATGCCTTTCATAACATATATATGTTCGCCTGTTACTTTTCTGACAGATAAAGTTGCTTGAAATATAATTTCCCATCTTGCCCAAATATCGCTTTTAAAATTTTGAAACGTTTTCTCAATTTAATGTTAAATATTCACGCAAAAGAGGAGACAAATAAAATTATTGAAAACGACATGCTAGTAGACCTGCGGCAAGAGCTCAAGTCAAATAGATATATATTATTTTATACACTCCAGATTATTATATGTTCTTGTAAACTTGATATACGCCGTTATCCTTCATTCCATGCATGTAGTATATTTTTTGGATATTATTTTGGCAATGTACACCTTGTTGAAAATTTGCGATACGCATATTTTAATATCATGACATGTACCGCAAAAATAGTGCAAGTTTCTGTAGTATAATTTGTATTGTAGTTCTGTCAGTTTGTTAAAATAGGTTGTGTGCAAGTAGCGATAATTACACCAGGAATTTTGTAATAATTTAATAATAAAATGTGTATCTTTTTGTTTAATACTTTGGTCTTATCAGTTTGTTGATTTATCGAGTGAAGTTGGATGACTTTAACCTTAACTTCGTATATGCTGATCATACCGCCGAGCCGAATTATCTGAGAAACATCTGCGGATAATTAAATTTTCAGAAGAATGTTCATTCGTTTTGCCGCTGCGAAAGTTTGGTCCGAATTATTGAGCATCGTTTTCTTTAATCAGCTGTACAACGATCGCAGGTTTAAATCACTTAGTTGGGATCATACAGCGATAGAACCCTGGACACAAAATGGCTGTTGTGACGTCACACGAGCCCGTATAACGTTACCAATGGTTGTCCTCACTTGGTTTATAGTCACGTTGATCTGACGGTACGGTAAACCGTACTGTACTGCGAACAGACGGGTTCATATATTTGGGCGTAGCTCTTTTGTTTTGGTTAATAGTAGTAGACTAATAAGGCATGAGCCAACACAACTTGGGATTTCTTCTGATACTGTGGTTGCCTACTATACTCACATTGCAAGAGTCAACTCCTCCGTCGTTGTATCCGGCACAAATCATGTTTTCATCAACAAGGTGATAATAATTATCATAATCTTGTTTACCGTTACAAGCTTTTGTTGACATTATTGGAATATCCGCCTGGTAGAAGCCGTTTTCCTGCATTTTATCATTCTCTGGATATAAACAAAAAGTAGTTGGAAGACTAATTGGCCACAGAATAAATCCCAGGTGCAAACCACCCACCCATGTATACAAACATATATGGATATTTTCATTCGAACCTGATTTTAAACCTGAGGTTCAACTTACAAAATCATTTTTTTATTTTATTGAATCTCAAAGATTCCATCTCAAGAATTGAAGAAAAACGTAATACTTACTGATATTTCCCCATCCTGCAATCCAACATCTAGTCCCTGGATCTGGATTTTCTGACTGATATCGGGGAAGACATAAAATATCTGCATATTTATTGACGTTAACCAATTTCTCTAGTTTCAGTAATGCTATGTCGTTCCTTGGAACAGTATCATTAGTGTAATTGGAACGAATTATCGAAGTAACACCGATTTCGCCGACGTTGTTTCGAATCATCTTTCTTCGTTTGTCGTATTTTATGCTTAAATCCGAAGCAGTTGTTCTGTTTAAAGAGATTAGTACGTTTAAATATACTCCATCAACATTATACTAGTTGAGAACAGTCTTATGTTCATTTTAATCACAAAATAGTCGAGTGATAAACGCATACCCTGTTACACAGTGAGCTGCAGTAAGAACCCATTGTCGATGGATCAACGTTCCAGCACAGTTTTGAGATCCTTTGCTGTACGAAAAATAAGCAACTGTAATATGTTGTGAATAAACAAGTGCATTTATATACATTGATGTTTATTCCGTAAAAGTAAGAGAATTTTAGCCAAGGTTAGGATTATTTTCATAACTATTACCCAAGTACATGGAAGCCAATAACAACGCTGAATAATATCACAAAACTTTTTGTCCAGACTGGGTATGGCAATAGTTAATTAACCAGTTAATTGTTTGAGTCGTTGGAACATACACTTGGTTTTATGTAGCTTTGAATAGGTAAACAAAATCTGGTTACCAATCGATAAATTCGACCACTATGTCATGTGTATTTATTCAAGACTAACAAGTTTCACCATCGAACATAAAAAAACTTGTTTATAGAATACTTTATTTAACACTTTACGAAATATATTATGACCAAATACTTAATCATACTTCCTGGAAAGCGCCAGATCCATAACAAACATAAAAACTGAGGTTATGTATGTCATGTATTCAATCATATTTATATGAATATTAAACTTTAAATTTTTAACTGTCAGTCATGCTAATTAGCTATAACTACAATTTCTTCAGACGTTTCCATCATCAAAAAGTGAGGATATTGAAGTTGACTCATAAACAAACAATATTACGAAGTGTTTATGTGTTATCGAAATCAAGATTGTGCGGTCAAGTGTAGGCCTGATTTGACAGACAAGTCTGTAGTGTCTGTCGGATTCGATTCCAATAGAAAGAACATCAAGATAGAATTTTTAGAAACAATCGACGCGTAATTTCCAATCAAATAAAACCCAGTTAGAAATACGTTATAAATGAGAATGCCCCACTGAATTGAATGCGGTAACAGAATTTCAATGAGAATCACTGTGCTACTAAAGTCAAACACCCATTTTTGCAAGAGCATGTTTCCATAGAAACAACTCAAAACTATTGTTCCACCTAGAGCAGGGGTCGGCAACCTTTTGTCGCTCGCGGGCCAAAATTATGGGTTGCAAGTCATTGGTGGGCCGCACATCTTTAAAAAAAAATTGAAAACCGAACGGATGATATATACTTTTTATAATAAAAATCAAGCATTGATACATCTCTCGAATTGTATATAGATTTATTTCCTCATTGCATCTCAAAAATTCCCTTTTGAATATTTTCAGCGCCAAGGAACGCTTTGCACTTAGCATCAACTTTTCTGCGTTTTGTTGCGTTTGTCTAATTATAATTAAATTATAGGCTCATTAAACGAGTAATTGTGAAGTATATACTTGTTAGGTTATAATATAATTTAGTCCAAAGAATATAATTATCAAAACGGCTGTTTTGTTACTTTAAATCAATGAAGCGTCGCGGGCCGGATTATGTTACTCCGCGGGCCGGATGCGACCCGCACGTTGCCGAGATTTCTTGCTATCGACTTGTTCAAAAACTAGTTCGGGCTTTCGACAAGGTCTTATTTTACGGGTAGGGCTTATATTAAAATTATTTTTAAGATTCAGGATTAGGCCTTATTTTCGGGGAAACACGGTCATAATTTTTTGAATAACTTTATTTCGTGATGCTGCAAGACGTTAATTGTGATAGTGATAGGTTCGTGAAATGAGAAATTCATCGATAAAACAAATAAATAATTCTTACTTTTTAATCCTAACAATCCATGGCCAGGTTGCAGTTTTTGCTTTACGGCCACCAACAACTCGGCGAATTCTTTTTACCGGCGATAAGTTAGGCTGTATGGCTTGAATGCCGCATGTTGACTGCTTTTTATACTAAAATAAATTAGCAAATAAAATCAGTGGATTTGAAAACTGATCATTAAATTTATATGATTCTTAGGAGTTTGTTCATAATATTCTACAATTATTTTTAAAATCGTTCTGAATAGTCGCAATGTAAAAAATTCTTTGATTACATTGTATGTAAAATGTTGTTACTTGAAAATTAACTGGCTCTTATATATGATTGCAATTACCTGACAATTTTTGCCTCCAAAACTGTCTTTACATAAACATTCATATTCTGTTTTCTCTCCCAATTTATCTAGACAAATTCCATCATTTTTGCAAGGTGACTTTACACAAGAACTGTCAGCTAAAACGAAACCAAAACTATTAATACCACATTTTTTTTTTCTAAAGCTGATTTGGTTGATGTGCCGGAAAAAACTTACAAGGTAAATAACACTTCGTTGAAGAAGATTCGTTGTAACAACAGCCTTTCGATATACAAAGCTTTTCTTCTGATATGTACGATTTCTTCTTGGTGGACATATCATCGCCACCCATAACTCGATGGCATTCTTCTATTTTAGATGACGATATACGACACACTCCTCTTTCATCTGACGCTGCCATAAAATATTCAAAACCAAAATATTCTTGAAACGACTGAAGGCAGAAATAAGCACAGAATTCAGTATCTAGAGAAAATGGCACTCTATATCTGGAATGAAATATGCTGTTTTTCAAACTTATATAAAAGGCTTTAGTTCTATTTTATAATATAAATATATAAAGTCCAATTTTACTTTCTAGAGTCTAGATAGAGACTTCTTTTTGATATATCATAGACACGTAACCTTTCAAACTAAAATTCTATTACGTAAGGCTACAATGTTTCGTAAATCCGGAAACATCGATCTTAAAACTAATACGGTCATAAAATAATCGGATTTTCATTGCAAAGGAGAACTTAAATTGTGGAATGTTAGTCCGATATCGCGACAAGCCTTAAAAATACAATTACAAAATATTTAACGCTACTTCATAAAAGCCTATTAATTTTAACAAGATTTAAGCTTCTACTTGCTCTTAATCTGGTTTCTGAAACCACTAAAATAATTCGACAGTTATCAGTGAGTAAAATGGCAGAGAAGCTGTTGTAATATAGAAGGATATTACAGTAATTAGATGTGTTTGAACAAATATAGGCATTCACAATACACAATTTCGTCTTTAAAGGTAAAATGACGCTTTAGATATTTGTATCTCATTTGTCTGTTTTATTGCGTCACGTTTATTAAAAACCCGAAAATATGCCAATCGTCATAATGCCTGTATTTGTGATGATGAATCCAATCATCGTTCAGAGCGCGGACATCCCCGTTCAATTAGTGCTTGATTTGATTCGGAGATCGACATATGACCTAGACCAGGGTGGTCAAAGGTTGTCGGCTCCGCGAATCACAAAATTATGTTTGCAATGTTTTGCGGGCCACAATAACGTCGGAATAGCTAAACAGTGTTATACAAAATGAACACTTTTATGGTGCAAACACATTGACATTCAAACATACAAAAGCCACCGAAAAAAATTACTAAAGCCCGCTAAAGTCTTTCTATATCTATATCATTTAGTGTAAGATTTCAAACTTTTCATAACAGAAAATGTGCTTCCGCAAACGTGAATGCTTTCGAACATCGATAATATTTTCAAAGCAAAATCTTAACTTTGGAAAATGCTCATTGCTCACTATGTTCTAAAATCAAGTTTTAAATTATATTCTTTTGTCACCGACACAACTTGCAAGCATTGTGGTATTTTCCCTCCCACATCCAGTTAAAAATCTGTTTGAATTCTTTCACGACTTTTGCTAGTATCCTGTTTGACTTTTTTCTCACTATGATTTAATTTTTAGACTCACTCCCCCAGGGTGACGCTGCTCGATAACCTCTTCTAGTTTATCGCGCCTCCCTTCACACTGAAAGTATTGTTTCTTATGTGATTCGCATTTATTTTTGTCTATTGTGTACTTTTGGTATGTGATAAAATAAACTACTGACTGACTGACTGACACGGGCCTCAGATAATGAAGCCACCCTGACCTAGACAGTTGACGGACAATCTACTCCTAAACTTCGCATTCGTTGGGAACACCAACTATGCTGTATCCCCAACTGGACTTGCGATGAGATTATTTAAAATTGTACAGTAAGTGAACGCCAATACAAATGCGGAAATATTTTTCCACGACTTCATGACTAGATTATAGACATCTTATATTAAATATCAAATCCAGTAATTAAAAAATGATATCTTTAAAACATGTATCTTTTTAATCTGCAGGTTTTTTGCAAACAGTGTGTTCTTCGCATTAATTTATATTAAAGTAATCAAAAAATCAACGAAAATAAATCTGCTACTGATTAGTTTTATGTACGTGCAAATATATGCCCCCTGAATACTAACTTTTTAAGCAATATGGTTGAGTTCCAGTCCATGATTGTTCAGATGTACATGTCTGAATTTTATCCCCGACAAGTATCGTGTCTTCTGAGCATGAATGATGACAGGTCAACCCGCTGTTCAGTAAACCAGTGTATAAAAAGCATCGACTTTTCAAATTTTTTGATTTCTTCAATGGACAACCTATAATTAGCAGGAATATTATAAAGTCTTTATCTTTTTTTTAGCAGTTCCGTTTTAAACTAAATTTATCATACTGGCGTGGGATATTTATACCAAACTAGAGTAAATCCAATAAGATGGGGGGGGGGGGGTCACGAAACCATCCCTGTTGTAGTTATGCTACGACACAATAAGACAATATTGTTCTAAAATAGGTTCGATAATTTTTTCAAAGTTTATTTTTTTATTTAAATATTTAGGATATATGGAGTTTTGAAGTGTCTTCTATCTACCTTTTTTAGATATAATTTAAGAACTGACCGCATACAACAGATGCTCCCATTAAATCATCACTACAGGGCAAAGTTCGTTTTCCGTCCCATTTTACTGCGGAGCAATCTTCGATTTTAGTCTCGTCTCCGTGACATTTAACCTAATAACGGAAATAAATATGATTCATTTTAAGCTTTTGATTCAAACAATAAACAAGCCCGTAGGCTGGCTTCATCAAAATTTATAATAATGAGGTTAATATTTTCATCTCATCAGTCGTTTGCATTTTCATTCTCTTGTTTACTATTTTTTATTGATATGTTTGTTTTTGTGCATTTCAATTTTAAGATTTACTAATCAACTCATCGAGTGATTGATAACTTGGTTTAACACAAAATAAAGCACGAAATAAAAATCAATATAAGGTATACAAGGCAATTCTACGACTACTCTCCTATTTGGATGAGCGAAACGGTGTTACTGGTTTATGCTCCTTTTATGCATAAAAACATCTCACTTTTGACATGACGATAGGACCATATCCATGCCCGAAGTTACCAATTTTCTTCGCAATTATTCCACCAGTTTCAAATTCCATTTGACGGCATACTACAGTTGCATCTTCCACAGTCCATCCATCTCCACATATTGTGCCCCATGAGTTATCAGGAAGAAGTACTTCTACTCTCCCCATATACGGCACTGTGCTTTCAGCCAATTGAACGTCATTGGTATCTTTTGGCAATTCTGAAAATAAAAGCGTGGCTTTAGAGGAGGTTTCACAGAACCAGACAAATGAATTCCTTTTCAAAACTTTGTCAATGATTGTTCAGATTTAATTCGTTTATTTGATTTGTACACAGAATTTGCTCTTTACATAATATATTATACTATTCAGATACGCTATTAGAAGTAACGTAAACCCCAAAAACATTGATTAACAGGGCGATGTGTGAGTCCATATTGTCACTTTCGGTGGCCCCTGACCGTATATTGAATTGTTGCCGAAATTGACCATTTTGCAATTTAGTTTGCAAGGGAAGTGTGAAGTGTTACATATGGAGGAAGAGGCAATGCTATTTGACATCTTTTTGACGTCACTTGTCACTCCAAAAGTTTTCCCAAAATACATTTATTTAAATTCCGAAATTTTAAAAAGAAATGAACCAAACAGAAACTTAGCCACCGAAACTACAAACCATATGATTCATCAGAGAAAACCGACATTGGTAAAAAGCAGCAAAGGTTAGTTTACACAAAATATCGGAAAAATACCTCGTTGTGTAAACTAGAAGTTAATTAGTACGCCATTCAAAAATGTAATTGTTTGAAATAAGAAATAGCTTCATGAGAAGTTTAAAGAAGAAATACTGATTTAGATAAACATTATGGATATAGTTCCACTTATAGTAGAATTATATAAGATATTTCAATAATGTAACTAAAATCAATGTATATACAATTTTCGGAGCTCCCGAAGTATGCGAACCAAGATGGCGGACATCGGAATGTAATACGTGTATAGGTTAGGGTTAGGCCATAATTTTAGGTATAAATACTACGGGAGGCTCTTGGCTAGTCTTCGAACTGATAATAGTACTAAAAAAAGGAAAATTGAAAAAAAAAAATAATCGCCTAACCCTAACCTGTTACCCATGTTACGTTCCGATGTCCGCCATCTTGGTTCGCATACTTCGGGAGCACCCAATTTTCTTAAGTGAATGAGGCGGACGGGATAAATAAAGTATTCGTCTGCGAATAGTATTCACAGTAAACATTATTTCAACTAAAAGAACAGATATCTCAAACCCCTAGAATGCGCAACTTCAGATTCGTATTTGTGATTCAAATGCATAAATGGTGTGTCACAAGTGACTAGATTCACTACTAACGATCTATTAAAATACTTGAACGAAGTGCATCGTAAAATGCATTTTAACTTTGTACGTATATGCAAAATGCTCAGCACTTCCATTAAGCAAATCATAATGGACGTTTTATTGTGCAAATGTGTATCGCGCTGCTAGATTAGAAAACCCATATCGGGCCTCCAACTATACATAGGGATATACATATAATATTCATTCATTCTGGGGCTGTCACCCAATATACTAACTGTAATGAGGTAGTCATCTGCTTATAATAACTCATACTTCAAAGCATTCTGGTTGAGATCAAAGAGCATAGTATATATATATATATATATATAAGACATATCGGTCCATTTTTAGTCGATATCGAGAAATGGCCATCATTGTCGATACCGATATATCGTTACATCAACTCATAGGCGACATATATATCCAAAAAAAATTTGTAAACAACTTGTAATGGAAAATTTTGTACCCAAGAAATACGACGCGAAAATACAAATTTTACATTTGTTGTATACGACTTTTAAAGCGTGATGATTTTCACACTTTAATATATACTTAGTGTTGAATATTATCAAATAGGATTACCATGCGGCTAACGTTATAGACGTACAACAATACACTTCTTATTTGAGACGTTTTTATTCGATGTCAATACTGATCCGCCATTTTGACTACCGACGGCGACGAACTCACATACGAGGGAAAACATGTAAACAAACATTAGTAAATTAGGCAAATTCGATTTGAACATGAAAATGTAAGCGTTACCATTAAAGTTTATTTGAAGGTCTCAAGCAGTCATCAATTTCTTCATCGGAATTTACGATGCTTCTCTATTAAGTATAACTCATTATATCTTGAAATTTCCTGACATGAACAGAAATTGTTTGACTCGGATGTAGTGTGTAACAGTAAGCAAACATTATCGATAAACTCTCACTGCAATTGTTTTACGGCTAAAGTATTTTTGTAAACAATTGAAGCTTAAATGTTAATCCTCTATTGTTTCCGATATTATAAATTTTATAATGTGGTAAATATTATGTTCACGAAATTCTTTCCTTGGCACAATTGCAACAGCGCGCACCGGTAGCAGAAAAACAACGCTATAGATAGACAACATTCTCGACATTCTGGTGTGTTTTCCAGTTCCGTTTTGTCGCATTTATAAACTTCAAGAAATCAAGTAATAAACGAGCATCGGTTTTATTAACTTTCAGTTAAATACCTATATACCTAAGTTACCTATATACCTAAGTTAAATTTCTGCTAATATATTCGTGATCGGGTTTTCGATAAATAGGTTACTCGTTATATTGGGTTATACAGAGAAATTCCTAAACCAATCGTAATTAAGTTAGAGCTATACATACTTATAATACTACAGTGTAAACTTCATTATAACGATAGTTAGCTCCCTCGCAAAGAAGATGTTTTTCCTCCGTGAGTCGAATGAAATTACCCTGCGGAATGGGTTCTGAGTATAGTTTTGAAAATATCGGTTTCTTGCAATACCTGACAAGTAATGCATTTACCTGAACACTGGGACATTTAGTTATTGCCTGCTAGTATTCGGATCGGACAACTCTTTTCTGCATTACAAGTATGTGCATGACAAAACTTAAAACACAGAATCACCATACCTTTTCTTTCGTCATTTAAAACAAAGTCGTTCAGAAATAAACTTTCAAGACTCCATCGAAGATAAGGCTTCTTCCTGTTTAAATTTGTAGTGCCCAAATTTGACAATGACGGTGTGGTAATGACATTTTCATCGGCATGTGTTTGACAAAATGGAGTTAATAATAGTACAATCCACAAATAAAAGAATACACTGGAGCAACCTAATCCAATTTTGTCGTCACGGTAGATCACGATGTTATCGCAACCCGAGGCCTTCATAACTCTATTCGCTTACTTCGTTAACCTTATTCACGATACAATGATATTAACCAAGCTGCGTAGTCTGAAGAGCAGATGGCAATAAATAGTAAGAAGAAAATATATGAAACAAAATGATTTATAGACAGTTTAGTTTTTGTTGGCATAACAAGATTGCTTGAAGATGTAACTACGAGTAAAAGAATGGAAAATAAAAAATTGGATTCCCAAATTGAAAGCTGTGAAAATTTAAATTACTAAGCGTCGTGTGGGTAGCAAGTTACACACACAAGTGGGAGATATAGTTTTGGGCAACTGAGCGCAATTATAAAAACATTTTTGACAATGTTGAACTCGAGTCAACTTTTTTTACTACAATATTATACTGTTTCATTATTTTGTTCAACACAAATATCATTATTGCTATCGATCTGTTTTTCAAGTAAGCCTTTATTACACTCTGTCCCTCCCCCCCCCCAAAAAAAAATAAAAAAAATACTGCATACTCATGATTTGAAGGAACTCATGTCTCTGAAAGTGATGTCATAGAGAGGGTGGTAAATAATTAATACGTAAACCCACAAAAAGTAAATCATATTCCCGAAAAAGTACATGCAGTGAATATCCAAAGAAATGTTCGGTTCTAGAGATAACTAAATTTTATTTTTCTAGTCAATTAAATTATAAACAATATATCGTTTACAAGTACTGATTATGAACAGTTGAGAGCAGAGATAAATATGTGATACCAATCATCATTTGAATACACTACGCTTGTAAGTAACCAATGCTGCATTTAGTTCCAATTGACGTCGTTCCCATTACTGTTGGAACTTTGTATTCCGCCTTTGAATTCAGTATATTAAATGGCCCCGATAGCATGCTGTAATGCTTTTTTTGTAAATGCCCCAAAATAAAAATAGGATATGTTTTAACGATATTAACCAATAGCAATTCACTGTTCTGTGATACACAACGGCGCATAAAGTTATACAGATATATATATATATAATGTAAAACAATTCGACAATACTATAACGAATATAACTTCAACAACTTTTGACGATACGTGCACTAGCTATCTGTGTCCCCGTGCTTCAATACTGATGACAGATATGGCGATTAGGAAAATATGTAAGCGTATAGTTGTCATTCCTGTTTCGACTTTGTAAATAAATATCTACATCAATTATGTCACGGATCCAATATGTGAAAGCGCGCGACATGTCAGTTCTCAGTTGAATCTGAAAATTATGATCACCGACCATGCGTTTAGTCAATTTTTCAACGAATTCCCAAATGTCATCTTACTGAATTATTTCTTAACGCTTAACACCGCCTATGGCATATCTCAATCACCCCCGTAAAAACTAGCTCGCGTTTTAACAGGCTTCTCGACTGACCGTACTGAAACAAAATGGATCAGAACCTTGCTTGACATAAATATTTGACACTAAGTCAAGTCACTTTTCTTGCGAAAATCGCTGCTGTAGTTGTAAACAATCAATGGGAACGGCTTAAAGATTTTAGCAGATAACGCGACGACGTAACCTTCATAAAAGTTCGCGTAATATTTATTTTTAGATTAATATAGAGCGGCCATTGATTTCATTCGAGGTAACAATAATATCAGCCTCAGATATTTGACTACATTGCATCAAAGTTAAACGGTTATTTTGCAGATACCCCGATAACTGATATCTTAAAAATATCTTTATAATAATCTAATGTGGCATAAAAACGATGCTGCAACCACGAAAAGTATGAAATCGTGATGACAACATAATTTGCTTTGTTGTAATGAAAGTGCGCGTTACAGATAATTTCACTAACAATAATGAGCTTAAATTGCTGATATATGATGTCATACCTATAGAGGGTTGAACAATGTATAAATACAGAATCCCATAATTTGCGAATGAAAATTTAGAATATGTCCGAGTTGGAACATAATGTTGGATAAATAAAGTTTTTTCAATATTTACTACGATTCATTTGTAAATTTCGATTTACAAAATTTATAGTTGTAAAATGTTAGCTGTATTAGTCATGTATTTGTTACTAAAACTATTTGACAATTTGTTACTAAAACAATTTGAACGCAATCGTTTTCCTTCGCATCCGCCCATGTTCTTCGATTTCAATCACATGCCTTCCAGTCTGACAACATTCAAAGCGATCAATGCATAAAAAGGCAAATGGAAAATCACAAAAAAATACTAAAATTGAGAACTCGATCATTCTTAATAAAAGCCTATCTGACTCGATTTAAAATTTATATCTTAATATATTTAGTTGACACTTTGTCGCAAACAAAAATTAATATTAACACGCCAAGGGCAACAGTTTTGCTCAAAAGGATTAATAAAAATAAACAAGTATGAAACTATATCACGATGTAAACAACAACGCATAAACTATGCAACTAAGAATTCCATTTAAATATTATTTTGATTTGCTTCACAAGCATTTTTAAATAGGAATTTGCTTTTTCTTTTAGATTTGAAAGCATGTTAAGTTGGCATTGCAGCACTTCAGGTAGTAATGCCAGTGGTAGGCTATATATATTTCAACGGTCTAAGCACGGAGGTCCTTACTATCAGTGCACAGCAGAACGCCAAAATTTCCGTGTCTGCAGAAAGAAGAGAGGAAGGGCAATACACTCAGAATTTAGAAGTGATTATAAAAAAATTAAACACTAGCTTAACTACGTACCATCCTTGGCCACTCGCTCAATTCACGGTTTAATGGACGAAAAGTAATCCAAGGGAAGCGGTAAGTACATGATAGCATATCGTCAGGAAGCAATCAGTTGTTATTGTTGCACATTTTGAAATAAAATACAAAGAGGAATTCAATAAATATACTCATCGTAAACTTGATGTATGCAATAATATATCCTACCATGCATGAACAACGTATCCTGTGTAGGTGTTGGGTTTCGCTAGGTGAGGTGAGAATTCGGTCGGAACGATCGCCAACTGCATGTGAAGTGAATAGTTTCGACTTAATGGTTTGTCTAGTTTGTTTGTCAGAGCCAAATTTCAAACCCTAAAGTTGTAAGGCCTCATGAAAAAACAACACAACTTAAAATAGCAGCAAAACAAAACTCAAGTATGTTTTTTAAAATGACAACATAAACAAAACTCGGGCTAAAACTGATTTAACGCTAAACTTGATATTGGCTCTGGACTTTTAATTTGGAAGTCTGAAAAAGCGAAGCGCAATCGTGTTGGATGCATTCCCCAGCAATATATATATATATATAACAATAGCTAAAATAAACGAACAATAAACGAAGTTCGGCGGCAAACGCGAAGTTTACCATTTGAGTGAAGTAATCGAAGTGCAGACAAAACGTCACAGATTACGTCGTCGACAATTCATTTAATTCTGAGACGGATAGTTTGAAATTCCCTCTAGTCTCAGATGAGGCTGCAACTGAGTTAAAGATGATCGATCTTTATGAAAAAGACCAACTGAAATGCGCTTTAAGAGAAGGTACCAATGAGTTATGGAGAAGCATGCCGATGGAAAATTACCCCAATGTCAAACGAGGTGGGCTTAGGATATTGTCAATGTTAAGGTCGACATAAGTCTGCGAATCTGTTTGTTTTCTACCCTAAAAAACGTGAAATCAAAGCATTGATCTGTTCTGACTGACACCCATGTGGAAGAACTGCTTCGATTGGCTACAACGACATACAAACCAAATTTGAAGAGGCTTTCTCAATCCAAGGAATGCCAGAAGTCCTACTAAGTAGCGAGCATAACAATAAATGGCTTTCAATTCTGTCAATTTCTGTCATAATCGTGTTGGTTAGTGACATTTGCAATAAACTAGCATTCCAGCAGAGCTGAAATAAGGGATATCTGATATTCATGTGGTCTTGTTTATAATGTGGCTCTTGGCGGTAATAAAGTTCGACATGCGGCTCTTGGTGTCTGACTGGTTTGCCACTCCTGAATTAGTGGAAGATATGCACATTCGCTTGCAGATCTCATAACATCACTACCCCGCGGTGGACAAATTAATCATTTTTGTTGCTAATCCTGAAGATGCAGAAAATGAACTCCAAGAAAAGTTCATTGGCATGCAAAATGATGACAAATCCAACATAAATTTTACAGAAGATATAGTTATGGTGCAAATCATCTGGCAAATACCCGATCATTTGGAAAAAAGTGGATTTCTTCATTTCTTGTACAAAAAGGTTGAGAAAAATGGTATTCTGAATTATTTGAGTGAAATTCACGGTTCAGCCTAAAAAAAAGTATGCTTAGTCAATTCGAGTGCTTTAAACAATTTCAATCCAAGGTTTTCTGGTTATGTGCTGGCTTCGAAGCTCATCATTTTCTGCTAAACAACGAGAGAAGTGACATGAGCAGACTTTATCTACATAGAATATGCCTTTGGTTAAGGGTTTTATCAATGTTATGGAATGTGCCCCCACTGGATTTTATCGTGGGTGGTACAAAATTACCACGCCCAATACATCGTGATTCTAACATTAAACGCTTATGACGGGGTCTTGCCATTGGCACCATCATGGTTGCAGGGAATTAAATCGACGTGAAACCATTTGGATATATTTGTATTGTTCAATACACATACTTTGCTCCAACGCCCGCCAGTGGAACCCTGATGACATCCACGCAAGTCAATAGTAGTATACATCACCTTTATCTCTTCCGTTTACAGTTACATTTGATTGATGTCTAATAAAGTCGTATTGTCGTTTTTACTAGAGATGTAAGGGGCATCAGCAATATTGGCTAAATGTAGACTGAAATTCCCGATACATTTAGCTTTTCAATATGATCCAGAATGTTTAAAGAAATACGTTAGAATACTGATTTTGAAATGATATTTTGCTTGGATAGATCGTGAACTATGAGCCAAGCACTCCCCACCCCGCGGGTAGAAACGGGAAAAAGAGACTGACCTGTTTTTAGCTAATTATCAGGCAATCTGCCTCAACCTTTGGTTATTTTCGCTGCCAAATTTTTTATTGAAATTTTTAATATTACATAGTAATTATGAATAAATATATCAATCGAATATTAGTGGATTTTCCGATATGGTAAATACAAAATACGTCGTTATATTGGTACAAAATACTGCGCACGTAACTCAATGTATCAGTTTGATAGGATAAGTTAGCTTTTTATTTATTCATTTTACCACCAACAGTAGCCAAACCCTATAAGTTTTTTAATTGAA